AAGTCTGTTGCTTGGAGCTCTACATTCCCAAGCATAATGCCCAAACTTGTGACAGTTGTAGCATTGAACTTGAGATTTTTCATACCTTAAGTTTGAGCGTCCTCTTCCATGACCTTTTGTTGAGCTTCCTCCTCATTCGTAGTTGTTATGGTTGTTGAAGTTCCAACCATGTTCACGTCCACATCCGCGTCCTCGACCACGACTTCTTTCGTACTGGCTTCTCTCATTGTCGAAGCTTTCTTCTTTCTTCTTTGGCTGGACATGCATCTTGAGGAGCTGTTCATCATTCCCTTGCCTCTTCTTATATTTCTCTTCATATGCTTTTAGCGAACCCATTAATTGCTCTATACTAATTTCTTCCAAGTTTTTAGTTTCTTCAATCGTCATAACAATGTGCTCGAACTTGGGGTCCAACGAGCGTAGTATCTTCTCCATAATTCTAACATCTTCCAACTTTTCACCGTTTCTTTTTAATTGATTAGAAACAACTAAGACTCTTGAGAATAATCAGAGATTGATTCAGACCCTTTCATTTGTAGAGATTCGAACTCACCTCTTAATACTTGAAGACGAACCTTTTCACTTGTTCAGATCTTTGTAAGAGGTTTGAAGCTTCTCCTATGCTTGCTTGGCAGAGGTTGCACTTAAGACCTTCTCAAAGCCATTGTCATCTAATGCTTGGTAGATGAGGTAGAGAGCCTTTTTGTCTCTCTTTCTTGAATCTTTCAAACTCTCCTTCTGGGGTTGGGACAGAGTAGCTTCATCTTCAAGCTCAGTGTAGCCTTTCTCCACGACTTCCCATACATCGTGTGCTCCCAAAAGGGCCTTCATTTTGATACTCCAATTATCGAAGTTGTTGTTGTCGAGCAATGGAACTTGGAAGGCTGCCATAGCGTTGCTAGCCATAGCTCTGATACCACTTTGTTGGGGATTAAAAAGACTTCACTACTTTGGAGTTGTTTATCTCACAAAGGAGTATGTAACACAGCGGAATTGATAGGCAAGAGAAAGAAAGAATACTTAAAGTTTTTACACAAGATTTTTATTCGCTCACAAACTTAGTACAAGAGGAAACACTCAAACACTCTTAGAAGCTTTGTTGCTTCTTCTCACTTCTCACTACTTGCTCTCTTGGTTGTTACAAATGGTATGGATACCTTCTCCTTTTATAGGCATGGATGGAACCTTGGAGAAGCATGGAAGCATCATGCTATCTAGATAATTCCACTACCTTCCTAAGCTAGAATCATCTACACTAATCTTGTATGTTGGTGGAATCCTCACCATTATTCTAGATTTTTCCACCAACTTGAACTTTGCTAGAATTCTCTAGCATGTGCATGGATCTTTCTTTGTTCATGGGTTGGATCCATTATCTTTGGGTCAAGACAAGATTACAATTCAACACAGCCAAGCTTTGCTTCCTTGCCTCGGACTAAGCCGCCTGAAATCTACAAGAAAATTGGTGTTCGCACTATTTCAGAACCTGTGCGGAAGGAAGAAGTTTCTCTTGCAAATGATGCTGGACTACAAATAATCCCAAGGGAAAGATTGTTTGGAAAAGCGCTGCTGAGGCTGATTTGTGGATTTCTTGCTGGTCCTCCATTGAAATGGAAGTGGAGAAGAGGCGGAAAGCTGTCCAAGGTCTTGTAGACGTTGCTGTTGTGGAGACACCTGAACCAATCACTGTAATTTATGATATGCCACAATCTTTCTGGGGAAGTTTTAAATGTGAGGGGCACATGAAAGATATGGTGGGACAGGGAGAATTCCAAATTCTTCATCCAGAAGACAGTCAAATCTAGTCGACAGAAGAGGACCATTGAGTTTGCTACGTAAATAGCTGAAGCAATATCCGAGTGTGTGCTGTGGGAGTTCACTGAACATATATCTGCACTTTCGGAGCTGATCAGGTTGGCATTTGTGCTATAATTCAATGAGGAAGATGTTGATTTCTTGAAGTCAAAGAATTTGCAGGTCTTCGTATGTTTCTATAAAAAATAATGGTCTCTCTCAGCAGATGACTTCAACTCTATGTTATGCTATTCTGGTTGTGTGGTTTTTTACCTTTGGATTCTCATGTTATTCTGAACAAGTGGATTTGCTTCTTTTATCATATGAATTTATGAACCATATTTTGTCATCTGTTTTTTTTAACCTTCTACGGTTAACTGATTGTACAGTTGTATGATCGCTGAATTATTTTCATAACATTGTTTTCTCTTTGTATTCTTCAGAAGTTATAGAAACGCCAAATAAATTACTAGTTAAAAAATGAATGGTTCTACTTAAGAATCTCTGTAATGACCATTTGTGCACTAAAAGAACTTAGATCACATACAAATTGAACCCCACTTTTATTTTCTTCAACCCCACTAAGCCAGACATCTTCAAGTTCTACTGCGAGTTGTTCTCAACCAAACCAACCACAAAGATGTTCGGCAGCAGATAGCCCAACAAGAAGGAATAAAATTGAAAAAAATTAAATTGTTCGGCCCTATACCACCGAACATTTATTGGCTCTCAGTCATCTAACAGTTCGTGACCAACATGGTTTGAGAAAGATTCTGACAAAACTTCCACGTTGATGTCGTCGACACAGTCATAAATTCTCATAATAGAAAATGCTAAGCAAACTATATTTTAAAATCATATTTTGTAGATCACATGTTGTGGCGGTTAATGGTTGAATTATTTTTTTAAATCATCAAAGAAAGAGGAAGGGTAAGAGTTGATTTATATTTGAGACAGATAGAAGTAGTTTGTTGATACTGATCATTAGTTTCAATTAATGCAAGGATTAGCTTTTATTTTTTTAATGGACCCATAGTCTTATTTCTAAATACAAATGAGGGGGATATAAAGGCAAACCTCGCTCGTTGATGGAAAAAATATAGCAAGTAATACAAGAGGGGAATAAAAAATTAACCCCACTTACAAAGAAAACATATGATAAGAATCATTTGAAACGATAGTTGGTAGAAGCAGAAAGATCATGAATATAATCAGAAGTTGTACATGAAGAAATGTTAGACCACCAGTAATATGCATCGTGATTTGCACTAAAGTTAGTTAAGACATCGGCCACACAGTTTACCTCGCGAAAGATATGGGAAACAAAAACACACATATGCTTAATCTGCCATAGACAGTTGCTTCAATCAACACGCAAATACCAAGGAATAATAGAACTAGAGGGTTTAAGTAGTGAATCACAATAGTTGAGTCCGTCTCCAACCAAATGTGATGTCATTCAAGCACCCAAGCTACTTGAATAACCTCAATTACAGCAAGAACCTCAGCTGCAATTGGACTAGAAAAATTCGTGGACAACGCAAAAGCACCCAAAGTAATACTCGAGAATCACAAAATACACCACCATAACCTGCACAGCCTGTAAACTTGAATGAACCATCAGTATTCACCTTGATCCACTTCACCATTGGAGGTTTCCTTTGAATGAACCATCAGTCTTTTCGTCTTGCTTGAGAATCTGTGCCGTTTTGTTTTCTCCTTTTGATTAGTTTCCAATAGGGGTGGGTTCAAAAAACCGAAAACCGAAAAAAACCGAAAACCAAACCGAACCGAGGCCGAAAAAAACCGAACCGAAAAAAAACCGAACCGAAACTGCCAAACCGAACCGAACCGAATCTGGCTGGTTCGGTTTCGGTTTTTAAGGTTCAGAAACCGAACCGAACCGAACCGAACCGAACAAATATATATTTAATAATTTAGTGATACAATCATAACAAGACATAACCTGTTACCAAGTTGGTTTGCTTGAAACTTTTCAAGCCCCTGCGCATGGGTTCGAATCCTCATGCCTCCAAGGTTTCAGAATTTTTTTTTAGTTTTTTTGAGCAATCAACAAACCTTTTAACTTAAAATTAAATAAATACTAAAAAACATCTTGGCAGCAGGGTTTGAACCCCTGACCTTATGCTGGGGAAGATTGCTTCAAACCAACTTGACTGTAGGCTTTATGTTGTTATAATTGTACCAGTAATATATTTATAGGTTTCTAATATTTAATGCTTTATAAAACCGAACCGGGCCGAAACCGAACCGAGAAAAACCGAACCGAATACAAACCGATTGAAAACCGAACCGAACCGACCCGAACAGTAATTTCGGTTCGGTTTTCGGTTTTGGCAAAAAACCGAACCGAACAGAACCGAACCCACCCCTAGTTTCCAATGGACCTGCTCCCTCTTCCTCTTCGCACTTATTATGAATGCGATATTTGTCGATTTTCTTCTCAAACCTGTAAGGCGCGCTGTCAATTTGCCTCTAAACTGTAATTTTAACCGATTATTTCGTAAACATTTATAATTAGTCAACTTTCCCCTATCATTAAATTGTAGAATTTTTCATCCATCTTTGATCGCGTAGACATCAGACAAATGTACAAAACAAAAAAAGTAATTTTATCCCTCACCAAAACCTAATCTCTGCCAATAGAAGAGTTCTGAGCTTTGATGGATGGGTTGGTGAAACAACATAGAATTGAATATGTAAAACAAGTAGATGGATAGGGAGTTCTCGGACAGCAAGAAAATGGGAACATATTTGAATCAGTTTATGGAAAGCAGCTCAAGCATTGGTACCAAGAGAATCAGAACGTTGAATCTCATCGGCGTCTTCAACTTCTGAAGGTACTGATCAGAATCAATGAGATTCCAAGAGAGGCAGTAGGCCTACCCACGAGTGCCAAAGCTCCAATCGCACCGACACCGACCAACCAAGAGCATCGGAGACAGAGGAAGGTGAAGACGACGACATTTCCTTGTCCTCCGTCGTAAACCTACTATCGGAAGACTAAAAAATGAAAGCAACAGCGTCTTGGGTGTTGGTGAGGGGTTTCTGCCCTCCCATATTTCTCACTGCTGTCCATGTTACCAAGATGGATAGAATAAAAAAGATCGTACCCAGTGCACAAGGCTCCCGCTTTACGCAAGGTTTGGGAGAGATTAAATAAAAAATTTCAAAGTCCAACAAAGGAGGGAAAGTGACTAATTACAAAAGTTTAGGAATAATCGGTCAAAATTAGAATTCAAGAGGGAAATTGACATCAGTAACAAGTTTGAGGAGGAAACCGAGAAAAACCGGATGATGAGAAAACATGGTGCATAAAATCATATGGTAAAAAGAAGCACTCCCCTTGTTCAGAATAACATGAGAATCCAACGGTAGAAAACCACACAACTAAAACAGCATAAGAGTTCAAGTCATCTGCGGAGAGAGACTATTATTCTTGAAAGAAACATAACTAGATAGAAGGGTAGGCAGAATTCAGAAACTCTGCATCCTCGACGAAGATCTGCAGATTCTTCGACTTCATCAAGAAATCAACAGCTTCCTCATTGAATTCTAGCACAAACGCCCACTTGATCAGCTCCAAAAGTGCAGGTATATGTTCAGTGCACTCCCACAGTACACAATCGGATACTGCTTCGGCGAAATATGTAGCAAACTCAATGGTACTCTTTTGTCCGCCTGATTTGTCCATCTTCTGGATGAAGAATTTGGAATTCTTCCTGTCCCACCGTATCTTACGTGTGCCTCTAACATTCAAAATTCTCCCAGAAGATAAAGGCAGATCATAACTTACAATGATTGGTTCATGCGTCTCCAATACAGCAACATTGAAAAGACCTTGGACAGCTTTTTGTCTCTTCTCCACTTCCATTTCAATGGGAGGACCAGCAAGAAATCCAAGAATCAGCCTCAGAAGTGCTTTTGCGAACACTCTTTCCCTTGGGATTATTTGTAGTTCAGCATCGTTTGCAAGAGAAAGTTCTTCCTTGTGCACAGATTCAGAAATAACACGAACGCCAATTTTCTTGTACATTTCAAGCAGCTTAGTTCGAGGCAAGGAAGCCAAGCTTGGCTGAGGGTACCAAGCAAATATCAAGTGAGAAGACTGTTCGAAAAGACACTGTAACTGAAGGTCATCGGCAATGAAAACATCTTCCTTGTTGGACAACAAGATTTCACCGGAGCCTGAATAAACTGGTACTTTCAAAAGGGCATCAGCAAGACTTTTCTCCGTCTTTAAATTCCAGTGTTTCGAAACATAAAGCCAGAACTTACAGCACTGATCATGTGACAATCCTCTTTTAGAACTTTCCCAAACTTTCCAAAGCTTCAAGTAATCATCAACCAAAGGTTGGGATCGTACTCTAAATGCACAACAGAAGAAATTAAGCAATTTTCGCTCATAGTGTTTCTTCAAAACAGTTAACTGCAAACCAAACAGCTCATCCTTGTCGTCTATAACACATTCATCTGCACCAACCCACTCTCCATTTTTATTTCCTTTCGGAATCCAGATCTTTCGGCCAGCCTCACTATCTGGCTCCCACTTAAACTGGCTCAAGTAATTATATACTCGAACAAAGGTCGAAAATTCATCATGAAGATCAAGATGGTTAGCAATAACAGAACACCCTTGTTCCACTTCAATAGTCACCCCTATTTCAGCAAGCTCGTTCCTGTACATTAAAATTTTAGATCCATAAAATTCTTCATCAATGAAGGGTCCATCAGTCTGCTTTACGTACGAGCCAAACTTGGAATCAAACAACAAGCACATGTTGGGAGGCCTATAGCCAGCATAAGTCTTCAACCATGGTTGAGAAACTTTCTTTAAGAACACTTCAGGAAAGGAATAATCTTTCTCCTGCAATAAAATTTGCAAGCATTCCAGCAATGCTAGCGCATTTTCTGGAGAAATGTGGCTCAGATTCAAGGGAATATAAAAACAAGATTCCACAAACTTGACTCCATCCTTGAATTCCACAACCACCCCAAATCTCTTCAGTTCTTCCTTAAAATCATGAATGTTCTTGCCATAGCAACTGTCAGAATCATCAATGAATGGGAGAAGACACATCGGAGAGATAGATTCCCAACTGGAACCAAAGAGAATGCAATCTTTGGGAGATCTATAATCACCAAGGCGAGTGCGCAACCATTTTTCCTGGCGAATGCAGCTCTCAAGATCTTTAGGAAATTTAAAGGGAGTTCCCTTCAGCTTTCTGTAACACAACAGAAGTGAAGCAACATTTTCATTGGTAATGGAAGTCGATGATGCATACCGCTTGAAATATTGAGCAAATACTTTAGTGGCGTCCTCAAAATCAACCACCACCCCAGTTTTCTTCAACTCATTTCTGTAGGAAAATATCCTGTCTCCATAGAAAACGTGATCAATCAATGGAAGACCACTAAAGACCTGAAGAATGCAGCCCCAGTCGGAATTCTGGTCAAACAGGAGACATTCTTCTGGACGCTTGTAACCAATGTTTGTCTTCAGGCAATTCGATTCTTTCAACGCTCTGACAAGTTTCTCAGATGAACTGGAAATATGCATGCATTCAAGCATGAATAGAACAATCTCGGGTGTCCAAGAAGTCAAGCAAGAAGGTGACTTTAGGTTGTCAATGATTAGCTGGTAACTTTCACCGAACTTGACTACCGCACCAAGCAACTCAAGTTCTTTTTCGAACTGAAAAATTTCTTCACCATAAAATCTTCCATCAATGAAAGGAATGTTACTAATCTGTGATGCAACTATCCACTCTTTGTCCGACAAAACAGAACCCACCGGAGACCTGAAGCCAAGGGACGTTTTAAGCCATTGACCTTCTTTAATACTACAGATAAAATCAGTAGAAGAAAAACAGTTGTCCCTCAAATATTTGATGAAACGGAGTATAGAAAGTACATTGCCACAGGTTAAAGTGGATGAAGCAGCAAGAGACATCAAATGCTTCCCCAGATACTCGCATGCTTCTCCAAACTCAAATCTGACTCCAATTCTTTTTAGCTCCTTCTTGTACTCATTAATCCTCTCACCATAATAATTCTGATCAACCAATGGGATATCAACAAACACGGAGACATTCTGCAAAATGTTTCTTGATGATGACTCAAGTAGGAATGACTGCGAAGGTGGCCTAAAACCAGGAGAGCCATTCAAAGTAACCTTCAGCCAACCACCTTCTTCTATGCACTTCGCAAAATTCTGTGAGACGAAAACATATTTATGCGCCAGACGACGAATCCAGTCCAAAAGCAAGAATGCATTTTCCCTAGTAAGTGGTGCAGATAAAGATGATATACTATCACTGGGAGCAGGTATATAAGGAATGTCCGTAGCTGCAGTACGGACTTTAAGGAACCCTAGGAGGTTCTCCTGTATTGTACAGTTACCAGCAAAACAGTCTGCAGCCATATAATCTTCTCCTAACTCAACGTAGCCTTCTTTCCTCCACAAATTAGAATCAGTCAGTGTTGCCCATTTGCTTCCATTGGCAGGCACAATAACCCCCTTCCTGTTTTCAATGATGTTCCCATACTTATCCACAATCACCTTCTTCCTAGTTCTGATGATTTTCCCATACTTATCCACTAGCGGCATATCTCCACATAATTCATTAACTTTCTTCGTCGAGATATAATGTCTGCACCAGGAAAAATACATGAAGTGGGCAAATGCAATCACAAGCTTCCGCTCATTAAGTGAATTGTCAAGGAGATCCTTTGCATATTCATTTACACTAACGAAACGAACCTTAACTTGATCTAAAAACCATTTCTCCAATGTCCCTTTCCTAGAGCAAGACTGGATAGCTTCCTGTGTGGTTTTTGGCATAAAGAGAAGCCTTCCGGCAGGTAGAAACTCCTTATTCCAATCAATCAGCCATGAGACATGATCAGAATCACTGGATACGCAAACCTTACTTTCACCATTCTGGATTGCACTTATGCGGCACAAAGATTCGGTTCCATAACCTGAACATTTTATTAGTGGAACTTTCTTGATGCTGGTCTGGAAAATTTTATTCAGCCAGTTATCAGAAATAAATAGTAGAAGCTCCAAATAGACGTCTTCGGACACCCTAGTTACAAGACCGAAAGTCCCCTTGATGCATTTAGCATACCATTCGCTGTTTACAGGTTCAACACCAAGGAAACTCAGTATGTGATCATACTCCACCTGGTCAAATGCATAAGACAGAACATATTTTCCATGAGAAGAGAGATTAATCAAGCTTATCCCTTGATCCCTCGCCATCCTCAAAATATTCCAAAAATCCGGCCTTAACCTACCCACTTCACGAGGCTTGTGAAAGAATTTCTGCTCCTTGTGGGGCTCGCTAGGTACAATGTTTTCTTCAACAAGTTTTGCTTTAATTGACACCCTAACAACATTCAGTTCTTCAAAGGCAGAGCTATGGACAGGCAGGAACTGGAACATATAAGGCAAACTAGACACTGGAGCATCGTCTATCGATCTAACAAGCGCGATAAATGCATTGACAAATGTAGTTGATACACAGTCAAGAATCCCCATATTCCATTTGTTGTCGAGGAGTATTGTTTCCCTTGATGATGAAAGAAGAAAATCAGCTTGAATTATGAAGGGAAAGTTTGTCACCATCTCCGTTGGTAGGAAGGCGTAGACACCTGGACATGTGTTCATTCCTCTACGAAGGCGTTTCCCAATTGGAAATGCAAGCGTGATCACCCACTCTTCTACCTCATTTCTCTGTTCAACTCGGTATTCCTGCTTGACAGGAAACTTTTGCTTCCACATATAATAGCTGCACTCTTTTTCAACCTCATCACAATTTTCTTCTGCAGACAAATGGAGGGTGTAGGATTGGGCATCAATGTTCCTCCTCGTCACAAATTCAGTCTCACTTGCAATCTTAATTGCACTTACATTGTTTTTCCTTGGATCCTCATTGTCTTCGCGGATTGAGAGCCGCTTTATCTTTGAAAGAAACAATAGAACCTCAGGGTGAATGCTAGAGAGCTGCTGCTTCACAGCTTGGAACTTGTCTGCCTTCAAAGGTAAGATCAGTGTTGTGGTTGGAAGGGCAGAACCGGAACCATAAATCTTTTTTATGTCTAAAAGAGTAGGATTTGCATCAACCCATTCCGGAACTATGTAGCCAACATTGCAGTGTACACAGGGCTCTTCACTGAACCTTATTTGATAACCATTACTGAAAATGTAGGGGTGTGCAGTGATGAGAAACACACTTTTAAACCCTATACCTGTATGGTGTATAAACATAAATTTGGCCGAATTAGCAAAACGAAAAAATAGCAAGACATTCAAACAGCCAACAAAAACTTAATTCAGAACGCATAAGAAACATGAGATAGGCATGATATCAACGCGGTATTACTATTATATGACTCCAATAAAAGTAAATAATTCTTTGATATAAATTACATGTCAAGATTGAGAAGTCCTTTTTCTTTAGTTTCTTGTTGTTTATAAACAGCAATGGCAAGACTGTACTACTCTGAAGGGCTAATATCACCTAACCCTCTATTTTATTTATATAACAAAATATTGATACTTGGTTAGTAGTCATAAACTCAAAAGGAAAAGGACTGGCATGCAGATATATAGAAGCATCTCGTGTATATACTGCAAGCGTACCTTTCTCCCCAATGTAACCGCGCTTCCTGTTGCCTTTCTTGGTGGAACGTCCAACACTGCAAATGGACTCAATGTTCTTTGGTGAAAACCCCTTCTCATTGTTGAAAACAATTAAAGTAGCAGGAGCCCCCGCGGCTGTTATATCCCAGGAAGTTATGACAAACTCAAGTGATGGATCAACCCCTTCTGGGTACTCATTATCTTCTGCATTCTGCAAAATAAGTAGTATACTATTAACCATTGGTTCATATATTCAAATAGCTACTGTCTAAGGTAATACGCAAACACACAAGCATGTAGGAAATCACAGGATCAATCTCTTATGTCCTTAGACTATTGATTACTATGCGGTAGTGCCAAGAAAGAAATAACACACCAAAGGGAAGAAGAGAAAATATATTTCACGTTGGATTGATTTGACTGGAGGAATAAATACTCATTTTATAGACTTCATCGTACTTTTTCCAGAGAGTTATGAGACTTCTCTTATTGGTCCCTTATAGAAAGGTATAATCCTAATGATAAGTCAGACTTCTTATTACCCCCTTTGGTTAAGTGCTATTAGACTGATACGACAATACGAAACAATACAACATGGCACTACGAAAAATCTCTAAATGTAACATACGATATGCTGAGATAGGCAATTAAAATTATACAATAATATATAATTTAGAACATATTTTGATAACACAGCAAATCGATTTCATCATCCAAATCGAATGATTTGTTGGAAAAGAAAAGTTAGAAATCTAATTCACTTGATATATATAGAACAAGTGTGAGAGTCGTATTCATAGTTTTAATTAGAGGCAAACTCTTCGTATTCATCAGATTTTATATAAACCTCCGTCTCCTATTAATTTTTACCTTCTTAATTTCTTATCTGAAAATGTAAACTTATCCTAAAAGTATGATACTTGTATCCCAAACGTGGGATGCGTGTATCTATTAAGTCAAAGTCGTATCCGTTGATCATGATGCGTACCATGAGTATTCGAGAGTATCCGACAATTATTGAATATGGAACACGCTACTGAAGTAAAGTATCCGTACATCATAGGTCAAGTGTATATCAGTACACCATTTCTATGGTGCACCTTCATACATTAAATACACACATAGTAAAGCGGAGATCATCATGATCGTATTCCAACGTACACATATATTTTATTTAAAAAAATGAATTGAAACCTGGATGAGTTCCATGAGGAAGTGAACATCCTTAGCGTAGAGTTCAGCAGAGAGATTCTTAACAGCCTGGTGAAAATCCTCATTCAAAGGGTTGAGTTTTTCTTCTCCGATGGAGAACTTTCCTTTGCGTATTTCTTCTATGTGCTCTCTCGGCGTCGCCATTTTCGGTACGGTCGACCGGCGATCACAAAGGCACAGCCACCTTTTCAGTTACAGAGAGAAAAACAGAATAAAGTCACAGAGAGAGCAAGCAGACAGAGTCTGACAGAGCAAGTAAACGAGAGTAAACAGAAAGAGGTGAGGTTGGAAAGGACATGATGTTTACGTATAAAGGTTGTTATTGTGCTTTGCTTGTAAATTAGGAGAGATTTTTCAATGTGACCGGTACACGAGTTGTACATCATGTGTCACTATATAAATGATGAGATTTGTGTGCTAAAAAGTTAGTAACTTAAAAAAGGAAAAATTAGTATCCGGTCCCTAGTTTTTATTGTTCATTGACTAAGACCTTATTAGTTCTCAAATTTTGATTCAAGTTCCTAGCATTAATGTGATAATGAATTTACTTGTTTATTATATAATTTTTTAATATAAAAATTAGTAATTAATTTAGGGTTTAATACTCACACCTCTATTAAACTTCTAATTAATTTTCAATTCAAACATTTCCAAAATAATAAAAAATTAAATTAAATTAAGTTTGTACCTATTATTTTTTTTTTATATATATAAAAAGATTCTCAATTTTTTAATCTTAAATGTACCCATTCATATAATTTTTCAATTTTTTTAATTTTAAATGTACCCATTCTCAAATATATCAATTTGTTATATGTAAAATGTACCCTTTTTTTAATATAAAATCCATTCAAATTTTTTAATCCATGTTTAAACTTATATGGGTACATTCTTTTTCGTTGATTTGAGAATGTATCCATGTTTTGGTACAATAACTTTTTTTGTTAATTTTGGTTAATGTACCCATACATATATGTATATATATACACACACACAATATAATAGAGAGTATAATTTATATTTTATTATTTTTAGTCCCTTAAATTATGGGTTTTATTTAAAATCTCATTAATATAAACAATTACAATTTTTAATTTTTAATTTTTAATTAAAAAAATATAGTAACTTACATTATTACATTAATATCAGGGACCTCAATCAAAAACTAAAAACTAACAAGGTTTCAATCAAAGAATATTGATAGCTAGGGACCGCATCCAAAGTGTCCCCTTAAAAAATAAAATTTCTCATCATTCCTATTAAAACACATGATACACCACTTATGTTCTCATCACAACTAAAATTTCTCGTAAATTAGATCTAAAAAGTTAGTCAGCCTAGTATTACTATTTTGGTACCAGTTAATGAAATTTTAATAATGCACTCTAAATTTTTTTTTTTTATTTAAAATAGATACTCTTATAAGACCATCTCCAACCCTGGGCTAAAAGCCAAATTACCCCCCCCCAAACACTCTCCAACCCATGCAAAAATTTTAGGCTAAATGCCAAATGCTATTTCTGGGCCAAATACCCCCCAGCTTTTCCCCCGGGCTAAATGCGAAATGTTTATCGGAATTTAAATTTTTTAAGATTAAAATGTTCATAAAATTAATTTACAATAATCTACATTTTTTTTTTTAAATTGATTTAAGAAAAAAAATTTAGGCTAATTTCATTCTTTAATAATTCCGAGCTAAAATTTTAGGGTAGAAGGGTTGGAGCAGAAAAGATGTTTCTGGGCTAAAAGCTAAATTTTCCGGGATAAAAAATTTGGCTTTTAGCCCAAGAGTTGGAGATGGTCTAAAGAGTGTACAATTAATTTAACAAAAAAAATGAATGCACAATTAATTTCGGGAACTATTATTAAAACTCTTAAAATCTTATTTTGCACTTAACAAATGTATATTTCTTTCTAAATATAAAAAGTTCATAATACAAATAAGAATTTTGGAATAACAATTCCTTTAATTTTTTTTCAGTTCTAATAATAATTCCTTTATTTTTAAGGATTTTTTTAATTATTTTGAAATAAGGATGCACTTATTTTTTTGTGAGAATTAGAACATAACACTATTTCAAAACATCTCCAAATGAGATGTCCAATCCTAAAGAGAATGTCATATAATCAAATTTGAAAGTAGAAATAAACTCTAACTGATAGGATTGACATATGAGAAAATATGATGTCAAATCATTTTTTAATTATTTTAGGGAACTATTATTAATACTTCAAAAATCTCATTCTACACTCCTCACGAGTTTATTTTTCTTTCTAATTATAGAAAATTTGGAGTGCTAAATGAGATTTTTTTAGTGCTAATAACAATTTCCTTATCTTATTGTATAGGTTCTATTAATACATCAATTATAGATCTTGAAAATTTATTTTAATTTATTTCTTTTTAAAATGGGTCTTACAAATATTATTTATAACAAAAAAAACATATGAGTTAGAGAAAGAAAAAAATATGACATTGCCTCGTCAGCCATCAAATTAACATTTGACATCTCCATTAGAGATGCTCTATTAACAGAGAACTGGTTGAGGAAGATCAATGATTCAATGCAAAGTGCAAACGGATGAAAGGTAAAACTATTCAATGAAGGAAAGAAGAAGTGAACAGTAGTTTAGTTACACTGCAATTTCAATTGTGAATTTCATCTTAAAGAAAATGTAACGTTAAAGAAACTAAATTTTGTAAACTAAGTGACATGGCAATTGATGATTGGATTATTACTTAAGCGTTGATAAACATGCTCATTCTTATTGATGACACATCATTTAGTTTGCAAATTTAGTCTATAAATTTAATCTTTCTAGCATTACCCTTAAAGAAAAAGTGAACATTGAGTCTAAACTCATGACTACTTCTACCAATTTCAAATCTGAGGAATTAAAATGAAGAGTTGTGCAAATCTTACGAATTATTTTGCCTAAAATGCTTAATAATTTTATTTTCATTCGTTATTTTATTTATGTTTTTGTGAGGATGATAATATAACAATATTTTATTTACTAACATACGCAATTGAACCTGCTTTAGGAAGATCAATAATTCAATGCAAACAAAAAAATGATAAAACGAAGACTTTAAAAAGACGCTAAGCAATGCAATTGACTGATCAAATTGTGTTTCTTTTTCTTTCAAACTTTCGTAAAATAAGAAAGTGAAAAGGAAAGGAAACATGTAGGTGTAAATATTTAGTGGTGGGATTTGTACGAAAAGCATGGCTGATTGCATCAGCTTGGAAGCTGATTCGACCACTTAGTCTCCATAGACTTTAGTCTTTGAGGAACCTAGACGCCTTTCCACAACTTTTCTTTATTCAAAGAACTTTTATCATAATGGTTTTTGAAATTGATTTATTTTATCAAGATAATTATTAAAATTAAAAATCAACGTAGTTTTTAAAAATAGATGTTACAAATTAATGTGATCATTCTGTTAAAAATTTGTCAAAAATTCTGTTATGTATTGACATATCACATAACTGGGTCATACAAATTTAATTAAATATTATTATAAGAATTAAAAATATTTAATTAATAAAAAACAAGTTTTTTTGTATAATTAAAAACTAAAAACAAAGGAAAAAAGAATAACGAAGATGAATTGTAGGCATTTGAATGTTCTCCGCCGCCGCGGAGTCTCTGAGCTCAGTGGCGTTTGACAGGTCGATCTCCACCAGATTCTTGCAATTGGCAGCCAAACTCAGTAACCCAGTTCCGAAAAAGCAATTCGACCGCGAAAGATCTATCGAAAGGAGGCTGGACTTGCAGGCATTTGAACGGTGGCGAGGGAGGCGTCCGGGACTCCTGGGCAGAGCGTGAGATCGACGTGGGAGGCAATTGGGTACCAGCGAAGGACTCTCGGGAGGTAGTTGGAGCGCAAAGGCTTGAGCTTCTTGCAGTATTTGGACGGCTAAATGTCATTCATTAGGAACTTTATAGTTTATACAAGGAATGGCATCCCTCCTTCATGTGCGACAGCTGGGGTGGGAAGAAGAAGAAGAAGAGCTGTTCATCTCTTCCTTTTTTTTTTCTTTTTTTTTTTTGTAAGTTTTTAATTATATAAAATAAAAATTTTATTATTTAAACATTTTTAATTCAAATAAAAATATTTAATTAGACTTATGGAATCAGGTTATATGCCACATCAGTACATAACAAAATTCTTAATAGATTTTTAACGAAATGACCAAATTGATTTGTGACATGTATTTTTAAGAACTACATTGATTAATTTTTAAATTTAAGAATCATCTTGATGAGATAGTCAATTTCAAATATCATTTATGACAACAAACCTTGACAAAATTGGAAGCTGAAGACTATTCGAAGACTCGCTTTATCCTTTTGGCCTTGTTGACGACTTGCAGTTGTCTTTATTTATTGAAAAAGATTTCAAGTTCGAGAAAATTAAATTAAAGTTGGGGCTGAATTGCAAGTTAACTATAAAACAAATTTGGTTTAAATATGATTTCATATTTAGGCCATATGAGCTTGAATTCGAATAAAGTATCCATTCATATTAGGTTTTGCGTCAAAACGCAACCCAACCACAACCCAACCATGCACAATATCCTTAGTAACCACCCCGCCCGCGGCGCCCCGGGGGGGTTGTTGCTTGAGTATCAAATATGTAATAATATAATTTATATAATGACACGTAGTTTATCATTTCGTGTTCCGGTCACATTGAAAAATCCCTCAAGAAGTTGCTCATGCACATGTAATTCTTAATAAAGTCGTATTTTTTATTCTTAGAAAACTTTGATAGAAGGAGAGAAAATTACACTTATTAGTTAGGGAGGATATAAACTTTAGGAAAAATTACACTTTACCCCCTTAGGTTTGAATGCAATTACAATTTCTTACAACATCTTTAAAACATTTCAATCTTATACATTATTTATTATTTCATTTCAATTTCATACAACCGTTAGTTAATTTGCTAAAGTTTCTGTTAAGTGATAATGTGGCCACATGTTTTGCTGACCTAGCATACAAGTGGGGGCCATTGCTCCGGTAACAACATGGAATATACAAAATTAAAAAAATTAAAAAAAAATTTCTTAAAAACTATTTTAAGAACACCCATTTTTCTCCACTTCCTCATCTTTCTTCTTCCTCCCTTTCAATTTGCGCTGCTACCATCCCAAGTCTCCACCTTGCTAGCATTAAGCCCTAAAACAAAAAATTCATTGCAACCCACCCATCTACAAAACACCCAAAAATGCTTTGAAATCTATGAATTTCAAAGAATTGAAGCAAATATTGAAAAGTGGTTCAAAGTTCAAACCACATAAATCCATCGCAACCCACCAAACTGTACGAACCCAGATCCACACTACCCAAGAAAAACCCACAACTTCTGCAAGAACCCATAAGATGGGAAGGACAGACATCAGAGGCGAAGAGGGAGGCTTCGACGGTAAATTTGATCAAGACTTGTTGTTTCTCTTTGGGGCGGCTCTGAATTTCTTGCAAATCCGCTTCGATTTACTGTATAAGCTGATGAAATCGACAAGGAAGAGCCGATACGAAAAGGTTGGGCGACGGGGAGTGGCTATTGCTAGAACAGTGAAGGAGCTGCAGAATCGACGTCAGCAGCACCATCGTTGGAAGTCACAGACTATGCAGAGAGAGAAAGAGATAGGGGGTTGAGTTTTAGAGAGAGAAAAAGTAGGATGAGAGAGAAGGAAAAGTGTGTGGCAATTGAGCTAAGAGCGGCAAAATGGAGTGTGTGGCAATTGAAATGGGGGAGGGAAGGGGGGTTCGAGGAAGAAGAGACCCATAACTTTTATTTTTGGGGAAGAAGACTTCCCAAGAAATTTTATTTGAAAATTATTATTTATTTTTTATTCATGTGGCACAAATTTGTGGGATCCACGACGGCCACGTAGGCATATTACAGAAAAATTGATAGAACTTTTAACAAATGTATGAAATTGTAATAAAATAATAAATAATGTATGCTATTGAAAATTTTAAAGATATTGTATGAGATTGTAATTGCACTCAAACCTGATGGGTTAAAGTGTAATTTACCCTAAACTTTATGCCACATAGAAAAGAAAAAAAAAATGCATGAAGGAAAAGAGGACATAAACTTTACCCTCTTGAAACCAAAACAAGAAAGATTCAAAGAAAATAGGGGGGACATGAAACCCTCTAAAGTCAAACCTAAAACATCTAAACCTGTAAAACAAGTCAAACAACACCAAAAGGTTAGAAAAACGCAAGAAAGTGAGACAAACATGTATGTCAAGATGAACATTAATTTGAGAAGCGGTAGCCAGACAAACCAACGTAGTAAAAAAACAATGCAACATGAGCCGCCGATTGAGGGTAGTCATGCCGTATTAAAGTTGGAGAAGGCAAGCCTATGTTAGCAAAAGTGTTCGTAACAAGATTTTCTTCACAAATATATGTGAAATGCGTAGAAAGTCATTTTTCAAATGTGAACAGCCAAACAGACTATTATGTACGAAGAGGCCAAGGAGGATAAAAAAATTCGATTGGGGAGCAGAAATAACACTAAAAAGGTTATTTGCCAACTAAAGACAATGTCAATCCCGCTGATATGCAAACTCTACACAAATAATAACTACTAATAATTATGCAAACTTTACACCAAGATCCATTTCCCTCTCTCACTTCTTCTCCCCCAATTGGCATGCTAGATCCCCATCGAGGCCAAATGTTTGGTATTTTACACACCCCTTAGCCTCGTTTTCTATCCATAAGATGCTTTGTTATATATATATATATATATATTGTAAGGGTTCGTGAATGAGACCTGGATCTAGTGTCTACTCTCTTGGTTCGGAGTTTGGCTTTCTTCGAGGATGTGACGGCGGCGGCGGTGGTCTGGTTTATGCTACTTGAGTTTAGGGTTTTTTGTTGTTTGTTTTGCAGCCTTCAGGCCTAAGCTTGTGTGGGCCTCTCATTGTATCCTGGGTTGTAACTCTCATTTTGCTTGTGCCTTTTACTTTATATATTGTTGTTTACCTGGCTCTTTTTGTGCCTTGTACTAGTTTTTATTGTAATGGAAGTTCTCTTGCTTGACCAAAAAAGGGGACGTTGTGGCATAGGGTTACCATAACAAAGGATTGCTTTTCCAGTTCCTTCTACTTGTGTTTTCATCCACTCCATCTCCACCTATATATTGTACGCATGCAAGAAAGTAGTAATTTCTTCAAATTAAGGGGGGTGTATTCAATTCGGATTTTAAGAGAGTTTCAGGGAATTAATAATTCCAGGGGTATTCAATTGAGAATTTGAAAGATTTTATAAAAGTCTTGGTATATTCAATTGAGATTCTTAAAGACTTCTTACAATTCCCTATAAATTTAAGTACCATATTGGAAAATCGAACATAATGATTAAACAAAGTGAAAGTAATTAACTAGATACTAAATTGTGCTTCAATTTGGTATTGAACTTGCTAATCTTGCACGAAATCATGTCTGGTCATTGTCACATCCCGGCCTGGACCCCAACCACATCTCAGGCTCGACTCCGTCGTAGCACGATATTGTCCGCTTTGGGCCCCGACCACGCCATCACGGTTTTGTTTCTGAGAACTCACACGAGAACTTCCCAATAGGTCATCCATCATGGGATTGCTCTCGCTCGAACTCACTTAACTTCGAGTTCCTAAGGAATTCAAAGCCAATGAGCTACCAAAAGGCCTCATGCTAGGTAGAGATGAGAATATACATATAAGGCTTATAAGATCCACTCTCTTGGGCGATGTGGGATGTTACAATCCACCCCCCTAGGGGCCTGACGTCTTCGTCGGCACACTTCCGCCCAAGGATTAGCTCTGATACCAAATTGTCACATCCCGGCCGGGGCCCCCACCACTTCTCGGGCTCGACTCCGCCGTAGCACGATATTGTCCGCTTTAGGCCCCGACCACGCCTTCACGGTTTTGTTTCTAGGAACTCACACAAGAACTTCCCAGTGGGTCACTTATCCTGGGAATGCTTTCGCTCGAACTCGCTTAACTTCGAAATTCCTAAGGAATCTGAAGCCAGTGAGCTCCCAAAATGCCTCGTGCTAGGTAGAGATGGGAATATGCATATAAGGCTTACATTACAGGATCCACTCCCCTGGGCAATGTGGGATGTTACAGTCATAATAATTAATAATCTATTCTATTAAGAGAAGAGGGCTTGTCAACTTTTTGCCCCATTTTCTTCCAATTTTGCCCTGACTTTGAATACACAATGCTGACATGAGGAGGGTAAAATAGTAATTTTGTATCTTTTGAACTTTTCCCCTTTTTTTCCTATTTTGCCTCACTTTTGATACACAATATTTACATAAGGAGGGCAAAATAATAATTTTATATCGAAATATTTACATAAGATAAAAAATATGCATTTATTAAGAGAAATTATTCCATCATCATTTTTTCATACACGTAAGTGAAATCATGATATTTTTTTGGATAGTTTGAATGAACTGAAGCGGTTGCGCTTGAGAAGAACGTGGAAGGAGGTGGACGGTTGTTCACACATACAAGGTGTGTGCTCTCTACTAGTATGTTAGAAAGCAAGCATCCAATTCAGTACCAATTGGCAACATATAAGAGATCCTCATATATTTTAAACATTTCATTAGGACTTTCATCTCCAACTTGACATACTCTTAATATCAATGAGATAACCTTAATATCCTAAATTCTATTTTGAACTTTGAAGGGTCATCAAAACTTTAGATATTTTTGAAATTTGACAAAAAATATATAAAGTTTTGATGATTCCTTAAATTTCAAAAATAGAACTAGGAGGTCAAGGTTATCTCATAAAAATATATAAAGTTTGGATTATATACTATATAACTTCTCGTCTCCACCATTTTTTTTTGTAAGACTACCAATTTCTTTCAATTGAGAAAATTCATTGCGGACGCATATAAAGACTACAACGCCCAAGTTGATCTTGAAGTGCCAAGAGTTGACATGTAGAAAATATTGTAACATAACTGTATAATTTAAATAAAGTCCACACCAATTTTGTTAGGAATTACTCAAATTTGATAAACTTACACAGACCAACACCTCACACAAAACTCAACTCAACTCATTCAACAATCTATATAAAAACTTTCACCAGTTTATCTACACAAATACAAAAAGTCTAAAACACATAGAATGAATCTAAATAAAAACTATATATGATTCACATCAATAATCAAATCTAATTATTCATAAAAGAAATTTAATTTGGACAAGTTATGAAGAACTTACTTTGGAATTTGAAAGATGAAATTTAGGTGGTCGTTAGAATGATCGCCAAAGTGGGGTGGTAGGAGTTTGGACGTTAAGAATTGAGTTTGGTGGGATTGGATTTAAAGTTCTAGCGTATCCTCTCTTTTTTTATATAAAGTAACATGACCCACAACAACATCGTTTTGGCCACGTAATATTTTTAAAAAGAAATAATAAGAAGTGCAACTTTTCTTTGAGGCATTGTATCAAACAATTCGAAAGCATATATGAAGGTCAACTTCAAACTTTAAAAAGACAGCACCCAAGTTATCCATGACGAATCGCCAAAGTTTGGATGGTCATCTAACCTTCTTTCCCCCTTAATGCGTACACCTCTGAATATTTGAGCAACCACGTAAATACTTTACCTATACCCACTCATAGTTACTATGGACATTGGGCATGGGGTTGTGTTTTGATACAAAACCTAATATGAGTGCATACTTTCGAGTCCAAGCTCAAATAGCCTAAACACGAAATCATATTTAAACTAAATTTGTTTTATAGTTACTTGATACGATTCAGACCCAACTTTTGCAATAAATGAAGACAGCCACAAGTCTGCAGCTAGACCATAAGGTAAAGTTAGTCTCTTCCATTGTTGTTCTTTGGGAAAAAGAAAAGTTGTGGAAAGGTGTTTAGATTCCTCAAAGACTAGGACTATGGTGGGTAAGGTCATCTCTAATTGCAAATGACTAAACATAATTATGTTTAGAATTATATTCTTATAAAAAGTCATTTTTAAATGAATAATGTTATACTATGTTCATATATCGTCTTCAATTAAAAATGAACAAAATACCCGCGAGTATGGATAACCATGATAACTGGCCCATTTAAAACTCACGATTACAATTATGGGTAACTGTTTAAACAAATAAATAGTTATGTGTATAACATGTTTACCCGTAAAATTTAAATAGATGATTATGGTTATTACTTGCAGCTATAATGAGTACCCATTTAATAGTTTATTTTAATATATGTAAAATTGAAAACAAGCTATAAAAAACTCTAAAATTGTTCGACCTCTCCCATACTCCCGCCGCTCATCTCTCCTTGGTGCCCTCTCTCATCTCCGGCGAAACAGTGGATTTGTTGCCCATTTTTAGTCGTCGATGATTGCAGCACCTCATTCCGACTTCCATCAACCACAAAATCCACTTCTCTTCTCTTTTTATTTGTATTCAAAATTAGTTCAAGGATTTATATTTTGGATTAATTGGATTGGAGGTTTGGATTAGTCTGACATGTGGTAAATAATTGGGGAAGGGAAGCAATTGTTGTGGTGCTGCTGCCTGCTCACTAATCTCCAAGCGAGAGTCCCAGATTGCTTCCTAATTTATTTTCATGAACACACAGAGTTCTATTTTGATGCCCAGTATTTGTTTTATTTTCTCTATTTCTTATGATATTAATTGACTGCCAACCACACAAGTATCGTAACAAGAACGACTTGCATGACATGAGCATGCGGCAATCAAAACATTTTTCATCAATGATACAATAATTTGTATAAATTTTTTGAGGACTTAAAATATTAAATACGAAAATGCATGTTAAATGTACCTACAATGGTGTTTAATTGTAAAAAAAATAGACAAATTTCTACTTTAATTTTCAAGTTTTTTTTTTTAATCGAATCTAAGAACTCTCACTTATGGGTGAGAAAGAATATCAATAGATCGTAGTACTAAGTTGCAATTTTCACGTTGTTTAAAAAACATGACAGGTAAAAAAAGGGGCAAAATGAGTAAAAAACGGGTAAACGGTTACAGTGAAATGGTTACGCCGTTATAAGTATGGTTAACCATTTATAAACGGTTATGTGTAAGAGTATAATCGTTTATGCAATTACCCAACGGTTAAACGATTATGGCCATATAACCGCAATTACCCGTCCGTCATAACCGTTGCCCATTCCTATCTCCAACTAAATGGGCCAAACATAACCCTCAATAATTTATTAGTTTTCTGTTTGTACTTAAAATTTATTAGTAATTTAATTAAATTACTGTTGAATGTTTTCAAATCTAGCCATTAAATTTGAATCAATTATTACAAATGAGGAGCTGGACAAAAAAAACAGGTTAGGACTATATTTGGCCAACCTCATGCCTTTTTAGCCAAATTTTGATACAGTGGGCTTCATAGAATTATAGCATAACCTTTGATTGAAGGAATTTGTGAACAAATCAAATCATTTTAACTTTTTAACTTATTAACTTTTAACCTTCTCCACTAAAAATGGCCTAAGTTGTCGAAGCGTCGTCCAAGCTGATGCAATCAGTCTTGCTTTTCGTACAAATCCCACCACTACATCTACCTGTTTCCTTCCACTTTCTTATTTTACAAAATAAGAACACATTTTTCAGTAAGATAACGCAGCATAACTATTTTTCTTGAAGATATTATCTCCGCAGAATCACACTAGCGAGCATCTTCGGTAATAGGAACCCAACCCTTTCGTTTCTTTTTGTACCAAAATTCGGTTGTGACTTTATTGTAGCCAAGATGCTCTGCCAAGTCGTTTTAGTCAAACATGGAGATAAAGTCTCTGTCACACTTGTCTTCCCATTGCACAATTCCACCCATGTAAAATTCATGCACAAAGTACCACCATGGTGGATTTTGAGTGTGAACTCATTTAGATCAGTAAACTAAAGGGGTGTGCTATCCACACACCCCTTTTCACTTCTCACACACCCTTGTTAATTTCTATCCGTTAGATCTTCTTCATTTCATCTGATCCGACGGCCGAAAATTAAAAGGGTGTGTGAGAAGTAAAAATGGGTGTGTGGATATCACACCCCTAAACTAAATAGACAGTAAACTAAGTAATACAAAATTTAATCAAATTTACCAAATTTTACATACAGAAATCGACACAAATAGACATAATACCAAATAGACAGTAAACTAAGTAATACAAAATTTAATCAAATTTACCAAATTTTACATACAGAAATTGACACAAATAAGACCACTTTAACAACAATCAAAACCCAATGTGCATTTCCTCCAATATGTCTCCTTTAACAACCGCACAAAAAGAAAATGAACAACCACCAGAACTCAATTTACACGCATTTCCTCAAATCTCTCCAAATACTACCATAAATTACTATTTGCTCGACGAAAGTTTGCCCAACAAACAAAATTTCGTCGGGCCAAGTAACTTTATTCGACAAAAAAAATTTAGTCGAGCAAACGTGGTCAACGTTTTGGTTCTTTTTAGATACTTAGATCATCTCTAACCCTTGCGCTAAAATCTAACATTTTTAATTGAGAAAATTTAGGTATTAACTTATAAACAGTTTTTTTGCTCCAATAGTCTTGGGTTAAAATTTTAGCACGAGATTATTAAATAATGAATTTAGGCTCAATTTTTTTTTTCCAGTAACTTTTTCAAAAAGTTTGCAAAGCTGCTTATACTTTTTGCTGTTTTAGATCCAAGATTTTGAAAATAAAAATTAAAAAAAAACTTTTTTATTTACCCAACATAATTAAGACACCACCTTTTTAAGAAGTTGCTTTTAAAAAAATTTAAGCAACCCCCAATCAATCCTACAAACTTTGTAAAATAAGAAAGTGAAATTTGATCAAAAATAATAAATAATAAATAAGAAAGTGAAATTTGTTCAAAAAAAAAAAATAAGAAAGTGAAGGGAAACGTGTCGGATTGATTAGGGGTTACTTAAATTTTCAGGAAAACTAATGAAAATGGTTTTAATCTTTAAGTTTTAACAATAAGGACAAAATAAAGGGTAAAGTGAATAGTACCAGGTTTGACTTTTTAATGTAAAAATATGATTTTTCGTTAAAGTAAATAGTACCGCGGACTTTTCGTTAAAACTCCCTAAATTTTTTTGTGATTTAGAGCAAAGCATGTTCATCAATTAAAATTACAGGGACGACAATAAAGTGGAATAAACGAGTGTGATCTAACTAACTTCCAATTTTTCTGATTTAGAGCATTCTTAATGGCAATGCAAGACATTTATAATTTTAGAGCTATATTTTTGTACTTTTAAATTAAAAGAAGTGGCCGGTTTGAGGTTTTTGATTTGGATAGTGCCATCACATATCTTTTTTTACTTTTTACACACGTTCTTGTTAATTTTTATTTACTCATATTCTTCAATTCGTTTAATCTGATGATCGAATTTTAAAATACGTGTGTGAGAGGTAAAAACAAATATGTAGTTAGCACCGTTATTTGGTTCTCTCTCAATCTCAATGCAAAAATTATTATATGTTTATGTTAAAAATGAGTGTCTAATAATGCAATATTATGTAGAGCTAAAAAAGCTTACTTGTGACAGCGTATTAGTGGACGGGCCTCCACGTGCTGATAAAATTGTTCTATGTGGATAAATTTTTCTTTGTGATGGAAATACGGATGATACATCATGTGTTTTTATATAAGTAGTTGAAAGTTTTATTTTTTTAGTTATTAACTTTTTAACATACATATCTTACTATTTGTATAATGACACATGATGTATCATCCTGTGTACCGGTCACACTGAAAAATCTCTCATGTGTAAGATGCCTTGCTACCGTTCTTGGTTACACAATGACACGTGGCATAGATTCGAAGGCATCAGGGCAATCGCAATCCGTCCACAGTTTCAATAATATTTTGTTTTGTTGTTATTCTTTTGTTTTTGTTGTTAATGCTAACGTTTTTCTTTCCTTCATCGAGGGGTTTCACCTTTCCTCTGTTTGCATCGAATCATTGATCTTCCTCAAGAAGGTTCATTTGTCTATATTAGACCGTAAATAAAATATCTGCTTGATCAAGTCTCTTCTGCCTGATAAAAGTCAAGTGGATGAGGAATGGTAATTTCAATCACCGGCCTTTTGGTTTTCTCGCACTAATTAGTAACACCATCCTAATCAGTGATGGATCTAGAAAATATTAAATGTGAAGTTAATAAGAATAGTACACGTAGCGCGTACAAAATTTTTTAGATCGTATAGCATGAAAATTGACATTTTATCAAATCTTTGTATGCCTAAAATTATTTGTCAAGTCATATTACATGTCTGTTGACACATGTCAATAGGAGCATGTTGACTGATGTCGATAGATTTTGGGCGACCATGTCGATAGATGTTGAGTGATCTTATTGAAAATGCCCATAGAAAAACATACAAAGGCATGAGGCTAGCAGCTACTTTATTCAGTGCCCCTAGTTCATTGAACAGTTAGAAGACAGCTTTCAAGGGCAATCTCAAATTTTCAATAGGCAGCATCCAATTATTTCATGGAAAATTTCTGAGTTTGTGGTTAGCTGACCCACCTTATCCAAGGTGGATCCGCCTCTGATCCTAATTGAATTTCCATTATCATTTTTATCATTGTCATCATGTCATTATGTCATCAAATTAATACGATTCTACTAAATTTTACATGCGTATAGGCGACTTATGATCCTAACATTATTGCTGATTGATACCATTCGAGCAACCACGTAAATACGTATCCCACGCATGGTAACCTAGGATAGTGTGCATGGTGGGGTTGTGTTTTGACGCAATGCATGTATACTTTATTCGGATTCAAGCTTAGATAGCCTAAAACGAAATCATATTTTAAACTAAATTTGTTTTATAGTTAACTTGATACGATTAACAAGAATTTTACCGAACTTGAAACCTTTCTGAATAAACGAAGACAACTACAAGTCTTCAGCTAGACCATAAGATACAGTGAGTCTTCCATTATATATTGTCCTTTGGAAAAACAAAAGTTGTGGAAAGGTGTTCAGATTCCTCAAAAGATTAAGACTCTGGAGAGTGGTGACTGAGCGGTCGAATCAGCGTCCAAGGTGATGCGATCAGTCTTGCTTTTCGGATACAATTCCCACCACTACATGTTTCCTTTCACTTTCTTCTTTCACAAAAAATTCAAAAGAAAAAGAAACACAATTTAATAAGCAATTGAAATCATGCAAAGAGTTTGCTTTTCGTACAAACTCATAAATTAAAATTACAGATACGACAACAAACTAAAATAAAGGGAACAAGAATTCTCTCCCTTTTTTTTTTTTTTTTTCCTCCTCTTTCTCATTCATGTTTGAATCAGTGGCGGAGCTAACATGAGATCATTAGTTATCTTTGACTCCAACAACTTAAAAAATCTCATTATATTTATTAATGTATTGTATTTGACCCCTATAAACAATTAAGGCAAACTAAATTATAATCTCCTCCTTCTATTTCTTCTATTTTCTTCTATCATATTTGTCTTCATTTTCTCTCTTCTTGTTTGCGACTTTGTTTTGCTTATCATGTGCTCGATGAAATACTTTAGTTGAAAAACCTTGGTAGACTTCAACATTACTCCACAATATCTTACATCTACACTCGACAAGCCTCTACAAATAATATTAGTTGACGACATATATGACATGAACTTTCGGCATATGTTAACAAGAATTGACACATGCCTCCTAGATGCTCGACCCAATGAAACTTATTTTGTTGATATTATGACCCTATTATTTAAAAATCATAGCTACACCACTAGTTTGAACACTCAACATTTCATCTTTGTAGAGAGAGAAAGAAGAAAAAAGTAGAAAGAGGAAAAAGAAAAAAAATTGTGAGAGGAGAAAAAAATGGAGGGGAGAGAATCCCAATCTGAATAAACCAATGTGACCTGACATCCAATTTTTGTGAAGAGCATTCTCCATGCAAGATTTATAATTTTAGACATATTTTTGGATTTGACTTATATGTTACATCTAAAATCTAAGTCTTTGTATTGTAAGAGAAAATATTTGAGTCAAACTTGAGTTTTTCACGATTTAAGTATGTGCATTGAAGATGATTGTAGTAAAAAAATCAAAGCTTAATGTTTTCGGTTGAATAACATTTTTTCTTGTTAGTATAAGCTCTACCTCAAACTTAAATATTATACTAATATTCAAATTTGGTCTTACTTTGACAGAAAACTTGTAAGAGTTTTGAGTATCTGGTGCATTAGATTATCCTTATATTTAAGAAGTCCAAATTTTTTTGGTGCATTAGAAATGATATTAAACCTTAATTAAGAGTTTAAATTGACGTGCTCTAAATTAGGCTAATTATTGTGTGATTTACCTGAACTTTCTATCCTCTATGTGTAAAATACTGATGTACTAAAAAAAAAAATTTGACGGGCTCTATACTTGCAAGAAGAAGAGCTCTTACACAAAGGACCACTCTCATATACAAGGAGTTCTTTGTTCAACGTCAATTATTATTGTACAACAAAACTCTTTAATTGGAGAATAACTTACACAGAATGAGTTTACTGTCACATGTTTCAATCTAAGAAATATGTAAAACTTGCTTGTGACAGTATTAATAGACTGGAACATCCCATAATGATGGAATATTTGTATATAAATTGTGGTCCTTCCGTTCTTCGTTAGAATGACAAGTGGCTTAGATTCGAAAGCAACTCACAATTTCAATAATATATTTTTTTTTCTTTTGTTCTTTCGCGTTTGTTGATGTTTTTTTTTTTTTTTTTTTTTGGTAAAAGTTCGCTTTTCCTTTGCTTTCCTTCATCGAGCGGTTTTACCTTTCCTGTGTTTGCATTGAATCATTCAACTTCCTCAAGAAGGTTCATTTGTCTATTTTAGTAAATTAAATATTTTTATATTCTCATTTTCACAAAAAAAAAAGAGTAAAAAATTGCATCTCATATCAAAATAAATAAATAAAAATTAGAGAACTATTATTAATATTAAACAATTAATGTGCGTTTTCTTGACAAACTAATTATTCACTTCTGATAAAAGTATTTTTCCTAATCAGACCCTTTATAAGAAGATATCTGTTTTTTTTTTTAAATATGAATTAATTGTGGGATCGACTTCACATTGAATTTCAATAATTCGAATCGTTTATTTTGTAAGTCTTGATTTATAGATAATTCTTATAAAAATTCAATTCAATTCAATTCGAAACCATTTACTTATTTAATTATCACCATGAAATTTTAATGTTTCTTAGAGAATAAAATGTCGTTAATTTCTTTGAACTCAATTAGTTGTCTTAAATATTTTTAATTTGGCTAATATTTTGTAAAGATGATCTATGAGGTGCAACTTAAAAAATAGATAATTCGAATCGTTAAAACTCAATGTGGTGTGAGAGCCATATTTCCAATTTTTTTTTTATAAAAATGGAGATTTTTTCCTTTAAAGGCATTTTTTTCTTAATATGTATAAAAAATAATTAAATGCATACTTCAAATTTTTTTGGGTTCCATTAACCATTCCGAAAAATAATTTTGGCCTTTATATATAAACACCCTATTCCTTTGCAACATGGAAAAGGAGTTATTAGTGTCCCACCTTCGCTCTTGACTCTCTGTTTACTTTCGTTTACTTGCCCTCCCTGCTTGCTCTCTCTCTGACTTTGTTTAATCTCTCTGTAACTGAAAAGCCGGCTGTGGCTTTGTGATCGCCCGTCGACCGTACCGAAAATGGCAACGCCAAGAGAGCACATTGAAGAAATACGCAAGAAAAAGTTCTCCATCGGTGAAGAAAAACTCAACCCTTTAACTGAAGATCTTCATCAGGCGGTTAAAAATCTTTCTCTTGAACTCTATACCAAATCTGTCCACTTTGTCATGGAACTCATTCAGGTAATTTGCATTCCCATTCCTATAACACACACACACACACATATATATTATACATATACACACACACATATTTATATATATTATACATATATATACATACACACACACACTCCTTGTGAAAACACTCAGTTGTTGAAGGATAGGATCTTTCATATGACAAAATAATATATGAGAGTTTTCACTCTTAATACCACAAAAGGCCTCAACAATTTTGATCATATATTAATTGTATATTATTTTGTATCTATGATCCTATTTTTCAATATGCTCTCTTGTGAGTAACCCCACATGGTCTCAAGAAAAATCAATTCCAACCCCACATGGTCACAAGAAAAATCAATTCCCACATGGAAAACTGGTCAAGTCATTGTAGTGCCGTACCGATTATTTATCATCTATAGTCAAAATTACCCTCCAATTTCATAAATGTTATTTTTTATAAAAAATTTCATTATAACCAAAAATACACCTAAATAGACCTAAATGCCTTAAAAATTAAAACCCAGTTACACTAGACCTAAAATCCTCGGAGTTCCTTTCGATTCCAACTCATGTAATACATACAAAAGGACTACTGGCTTATTTCTGGAAAATACTAATTTTGACTGCCGGAAAGTAGATTTCGCAGTCGTTTCATCACCATATAAATGTGAAGGACACTACCAATAACAGTCACTACCTCAAGTTCCTAAATGGAGGATTGGAAGAATTGTGTACTTTGACCCAAATCTCTGTAATCCAAAGAAATTAACCTTTCTTAGATCAATACATGTCCGACAGCATGTGAAGATTTTTCGCTATCAATACATGTTGTTAGGCATAAGAGTTGATTGGAGTTTTTTCGCTTGTTTTTACCGGTATTGTATCAAAGGGAGTTTTGTTCTTTTTCCTAGTATGAAAACGAAACTATATATGACTTGTATAATTTGCAGTTTCCTAAAGGTTGATATATTCGAACAACAGTTTTCTTCCCAGTGAATCCAAGTTTATTGTAGGCCTATGAAATTTTGCGTACTTGCTGCTCATTCATTAAGAGGAAAAGCTGGCACACGTTACAGAAAAAAAGGTTTAATTGTGGGTATTTGGGTCTATTCAAAAGTGATTTTGACTATGTATGAAATTTGTTCCAAAAGTTGATATTTATGAAAGCTGGGGCTAAAATTTGGCCATATATGATAAAAACTCCATTGTACCAGAGTTAACACAATTTTTTCATAGCCCAGTCATCATTCAGGGATTAGAGCTATTGTAACTTTTTGAGGCCCAATTAACTCAATATCCTAAAGTTGGAGTTAGCGTAACTTTTTGAAAGCTCAACTTAAAGATGCAAATTCAAGCCCAGTAAATCGAGTCCAGGACGTATCGAAAGAATAGTACGCTTTGATTTTATTTCAGATTTTCAGAAAGATGGGTCACTGGTTCACTCCAAACCATACTTATAAAACTCAACACCTAGTAATACAGTAGTTGAGTTGAGACAATTTTGTGTGGTTAAGAGTAGGCTAGTGATCCGTCTCTCTAAATATTTGACATCAATATGCATGATGAATTTTGTTTTTGGTGTTAATGTGGTTAGGTCAGTTTTTTATTTTTTATTTTTTTGTCAAAGTGGTTAGGTCAGTTGACTAGGAATTCTTTCTCAGAATAAGATTTTTTTTTTCTTTCATTCATTCACTTCAAATGTCATAAATAAATATGGAGTGTCATAGGAAAAGGGTGTGCCGAAATCACTTTAATTTAGAATATCACCTTGCTAAATGCGGAAATCAATTTCCTTTATAATATACCCTTGCCGAGAAAAGAGAAGTAAATGCTTTTGCAAGAAGCTTGTAGCTCAAGTGGCAAAGAGCAATCCCGAGTCACGTGTTCAATTCCCCCTCTCCCCAATATTTTTTTTGTATCACAAGAACTAAATGCGTTTTGAACAAAGATTATGGACTTTATGTAGGTTTGTTACGTTTGTATGCGCATGCATGTAGGTATTAGTGTGCTGGATAATGCATTTGAAGGTTTTTAATTTCGTTTAATACATTCAGTAAAGTTAAACTGTTAAAGCTTACATTGGATGAGATGCTATTCGATTTCTCAATGTTTTAATCGAATGGAAATGGGAAATAATTTAGTTTTGTAAAGATATATGCTTGTGAATCTTAATCTTAATCGATATGCCACTATGAACAATTTAAAGATTTAACTTTTGTTTCTTATATGGTTTGATTGAAATAACAAAACATGTTGTATTTTACTTCACAGAATGCAGAAGACAATGAGTACGCAGACGGCGTTGATCCGTCACTTGAATTTGTCGTAACGTCCAGGGATATAACCGGCACAGGGGCTCCTGCCACATTGCTGATTTTCAACAATGAGAAGGGATTTTCACGTAAGAACATAGAATCCATTTGCAGCATTGGACGGTCCACCAAGAAAGGCAACCGGAAGCGCGGCTACATTGGAGAGAAAGGTATGTGCATTATCAGTACATTACTTCCCCTAACTTTATGGAAGCCACGCAATGTTTCATTTGATACAATGTGGCACATGTTTGTTATAGAAATGTTCCAAGATTTAATAATTCTCTGCGAGTTCACATTTCAGTCGTCCATCGCGAACTATATGCTATACTATGGTATGCTTGATACAGAAAAAATTAGTACTTTGATTGGAATTATTCTGCAGATATCAAAATTTAGGTGATATTTTACATGATGACTGTTATATATTAATCGGTGAAGTACGCAACTGAAGTTTGGAATGCCTATAAGCTTATATGTGTTTTCTTTCTTATTTGGTAGTTATGATTTTTCATTGTTGTGCTAATTCAATCATGTTTCTGGTTAATCTACAGGAATTGGCTTCAAGAGTGTGTTTCTGATCACAGATCGGCCTTACATCTTTAGTAATGGCTATCAGATAAGGTTCAGTAAAGAGCCTTGTCTGCATTGCAATCTCGGGTACATTGTTCCTGAATGGGTTGAGGAAAACCCTACTCTATGTGACATAAAACAGATATATGGTTATGGTTCTGCCCTTCCAACCACAACGCTGATCTTACCTCTAAAGCCTGACGAGGTCCATCCTGTGAAGCAGCAGCTCTCAAGAATGCATCCGGAAGTTCTCTTGTTTCTTTCAAAGATTAAGCGGCTCTCGGTTAGGGAACATAATGAGGATCCAAGGCTCAACACTGTGAGCGCGATATCAATATCAAGTGAGATTGATCTTGTGGCGCAGAAGAACATTGATGCTCAGTCCTACACACTCCACCTCTCTGCAGAAGAAAATGGTGATGACGACAAAAACTGTATCTATTATATGTGGAAGCAGAAGTTTCCTGTCAGGCAAGAGTTCAGAGAGGAGAGGAGAATGGAGGTCGATGAGTGGGTGATCACGCTAGCATTTCCATATGGGGAGCGCCTTCATAGAGGAACAAGCTCACCCGGGGTCTATGCATTCCTTCCAACTCAGATGTTTACAAATTTGCCTTTCATAATTCAGGCAGATTTTCTGTTACAATCATCAAGAGAAGGTATTGTCTTGGACAGCAAGTGGAATCGAGGAATTCTTAGTTGTGTGCCTGTTGCATTCCTCAAAGCATTTACCTCGCTCGTGAAAACTATAGGAGACGCACCAGATTCTAGTTTGCCTCCTTACTTTAGGTTCTTACCTGTCCAGAACACCCCCTATGATGAATTGAATGTTGTGAGGGAGTCAATCAAAGCACTGCTTATTGAGGAAGACATTGTACCAACCAAGTCACACAAGCAGAGGTTCTTCCATAAACCTCGCGAAGTGGGTAGGTTGTTGCCTGCTTTCTGGAATATTTTGAGAAAGGCGAGCGATGAAAGGGTTAGCTTGGGGAACATCTCTTCCCATGGAAGATATGTTTTGTGTGATTCATTTGACAAAGAGGAGTATGATCACATTCTGAATTTCCTTGGAGTTGAACCAGTTCACGATGAGTGGTATGCTAAATGCATTCAGAGTTCCGATATTGTTGCCGGAGTGTCTGAAGATGTCTATTTGGAGCTTCTATTGTTTGTTTCCGATAACTGGAGGCGGACATTCCACTGTACCAACATCAAGAACATTCCACTGATAAAATATGTGGATTTTGACGGGAGTGTAGCATTCTGCAGCTTAAGTGCAATGCGGATTGGTGAAAAGAAGATTTGCCTATCCCGTCTTTCTTGTCATGTCTCATGGTTGATTGATTGGAACAAGGAATTTATATCCACAGCAAAACTTCTTTTTATGCCAGAAATAACCCAGGAAGCTCTCCAGTCATGTTCTAAGCAGGAGGAGTTGCTGAAATGGTTCGCAGAAGAAATGAAGGTTGCTGCTGTAAGTGTTTACGAGTATGCAGTTTGCCTCGATCATTCTCTTGGCAATGAGCGGAAACCTGTCGTTGCATATGCCCACTTTTTGTATCATTCATTGTGCAATAAGTATATCCCTGCTTACGAAGTTGATGATTTATGTAGTAAAATGCCACTTGTGAATAACTACGGCTACGTTAATAGACAAAGGAGAGGGCTTATTGTCCCTGCCTATGAAAGCAAATGGGCTGATTTGACTGATTCAAATCTGTGGATGGAAGAAGGCTACGTCGAGTTAGGAGAAGATTACATAAAACCAGGTCACTTTGCAGGTAAAGTTACAAAAGAGAAGCGGCTCCTTGAGTTCCTCAAAGATCATGCCGCAGCTTCGGATGTCCCCTCTATTTCTGCTCCCAATGCATGTATTCCAACTGTGTCTTCAACTCTGACGAAGCAAAATGCATTCTTGCTTTTGGACTGGATTCGTCACCTGAAACATGAGAGGGTTCACATTCCAGAGAAGTTTTTGAAAAGCATAGCGAATGGTTACTGGCTGAAAGTTTATTTGAATGGATATTCGGGTGCCATTAGGCCACCTTCGCAGTCATTCATACTCACATCATCATGTGGAAACATTCTGCAGAGTGGATCTAATTTTGTTGATATCCCATTGGTTGACATGAGTTATTATGGGGAGAAAATTAATGATTACAAGGAGGAGCTAAAAGCAGTTGGAGTCATGTTTGAGTACGCAGAAGCATGCAAGTTTATTGGGGACCGTCTTATGTCTCTCGCAGATTCATCCACTTTAACTATAGACAGTGTACTTTCAATCCTGAAATTTATCAAGTTTTTGAGGGACAACTATTTTTCAGCAGAAGAATTCGTATCCAGTATTAAAAGGGGGAGTTGGCTTAAAACGTCCCATGGCTACAGGTCTCCAGTTGGATCTGTCTTGTTCAACCAAGGGTGGCAAATTGCATCCAAAATTAGTGACATTCCATTCATTGATCAGGAGCTTTACGGTGAAGAAATTCTTCATTTCAGAGAAGAACTCGAGTTGCTTGGTGTGGTTGTTTCCTTCCGCACAAATTACCAACTCATGATCGACCACCTAAAGCCACCGTCATGCTTAGCTTCTCTAACATCGGATGCTATTCTACTATTGCTGATAATTATGCAGATCTCAAATTCATCTGATAAGATTGTCGAAACATTGAGTAGAACAAGGTGCCTGAAAGCAAACAATGTTTACAAGTTTCCACATGAATGTCTCTTGGTTCATAAGGAATGGGGTTGCCTTCTTCAGGTGTTTAGTGGTCTCCCATTGATCGATCACAATTTCTATGGAGACAACATATTTTCCTACAGAAATGAGTTGAAGAAAATAGGGGTGGTTGTTGATTATGAGGAGGCTGCAAAAGTATTTGCTCGTTATTTCAAGCATTACGCATCTTCGACTTCCATCACCAAGGAAAATGTTGCATCATTTCTGTTGTGTTGTAGAAAGCTGAAGGGAACTCCTTTTAAATTTCCTGAAGATCTGAAAAGCTGCATTCGGGAGGAAAAGTGGCTGCGCACTCGTCGGGGTGATTATAGATCTCCAAGAGAGTGCATTCTCTTTAGTCCTGATTGGGAATACATCTCTCCAATATCTCGTCTCCCTTTTATCGACGATTCTGAAAATTATTATGGCAAGAATATTCATGAATATAAGAAGGAGCTCAAGAGCATGGGGGTCGCTGTGGAATTCAAGGATGGTGTCAAGTTTGTGCCTCCTAATGTTTGTCTTACCCAGAATCCAAGGAGCATTTCCCCAGAAAATGTGCTAGCATTGCTGGAATGCATGCATATTTTATTGGAGGTGAAAGATTACTCCTTTTCAGATGCATTTATAAAGAGAGTTTCTCAACCATGGTTGAAGACTTATGCTGGTTATAGGCCTCCGAGCGAGTGCTTGTTGTTCGACTCTAAATTTGATTTGTTTCTGAAAAAGACTGACGGGCCTTTCATTGACGAAGAATTTTATGGTTCTAAAATTACAACTTACAGAAAAGAGCTCTCTGAAATAGGGGTGATCGTTGAAGTGGAACAAGGATGTCCATTGATTGCCAGCCACCTTGATTTTCATGATGAACGTTCTACTTTCGTTCGAGTATATGAGTACTTGAATGTGTTTATGTGGAAGCCGGATTGCGAGGCTGACAGAAGGATCTGGATTCCGAATAGAAATCAGAATGGAGCGTGGGCTAGTCCTGATCAATGCGTAATCAATGACAAAGACGGGCTATTTGGTTTGCAGCTGACTGTCCTGGAGACCTACTTTGAGCATAACCTGCTAGCGTTCTTTTCGTATGCTTTTGGGGTAAAATCTCGTCCTTCTATTGAGGACTACTGCAAGCTCTGGAAGGTTTGGGAAAGCTCCAAAATAACATTGTCGCATGTGCACTGTTGCAAGTTCTGGGGTTATATTGCAAAGAGCTGGAATTCGAAAACAGAGAAAGTTCTTACTGAGGCCTTGGTGAAACTGCCTGTTAATTCCAGCTCAGATGAAATCTTGTTGCTAAACAAGTCGGATGTGTTTCTTGCTGATGACTTGCTACTCAAGGATCTTTTTGAGCAGTCTTCTCCTCATCCCTTATTTGTTTGGTACCCTCAGCCAAGCTTGCCTGCATTGCCTCGGACTACATTGCTTGATATTTACAAGAAAATTGGTGTTCGTACTATTTCCGAATCTGTACAGAAGGAAGAACTGCCCCTAGAATATGGCATTGAGCAACAACGGGTAATTCCAAGGGATGGTTTGATTGGGAAACCGCTGTTGAAGCTCATTCTCGGTTTTCTAGCTGATCCCGCCTTCAAAATGGAAGCAGAAAGGAGGCATGAAGCTGTGCAAGGCCTTCTCAGTCTTACTGTTGTGGAGACAACCGAAGCAATCAATGTAAGCTATAACTTACCATTGTCTTCCGGAGAGGTTTTGAACGTAAGGGCAAGCCGAATGATACGGTGGGACAAAGAAATGTGTGCATTTTTCACACAGAAAATGGACAGGTCTGGAGGGCAGAAAAGTGTCATTGAGTTTGCCACATATTTCTCTGAAGTAATAACCTCTGGTGTCCTGTGGGAGAACACTGATCATATACCTGCACTTTCAGAGATGATCAAGTTGGCATTCGTGATGGATTTCGATGAGGAAGCAGTTGAGTTCTATATGAAGTCCAAGAATTTGGGAATCTTCGTCGAGGATGAGGAGTTTCTAAACTCTGCCTTCTGACTAGATATGTTATAAACTTCCCTTTGCTGTTGTTTAAGGTTTAGTTTGTGTCCTTAATTTAAGCACTGTCTTACTGATATAATGTGTGGTTTCAATGTAAATAATTAGTGTGATTTTCCGATAATCTGTCAATATATAAATGCTGTGAACTTTAATCTGTATTAGTTAATGTGATTCTCTTGTGATTGTGGACGGTTGATCGTTGATAGCTTATTTTGTTAACTTGTCACCCTATCTATTCAACGTATTCATAAATATTCTTTTGTTCACCACCTTTAATCACAACCTACATACATGGATTTATCGCTGTAGTTGACAGAGTCATAAATTTTCATGAAGATAAAACGTCCCAGATTCTCATGGGAAGTTGAAAAGACAAAATTAATTAAGCTAATCCATGCATTAATTGAAGTTTATCAATATAATTAACTTCTACTTTCTCTCTCGTTCTCATATATAAACAACTCATTGATCATTCTCAATTTCTCTCAAGTCACAACTTCTGATTGTCCGTGAAGTACTGAAGCTTAACTGAAAGAGGCAATTGATTCGTCAATGGGTACTCCGAAAGCGCACGTGGAACAGATCTTCACCAGGCTGTTAAGAATCTCTCTGCTGAACTCTACGCTAAGGATGTTCACTTCCTCATGGAACTCATCCAGGTTTCAATTGAATATATGAATCAATGGTTCACAGTGTACTACTTATTTTGCAGAATGCAGAAGATAATGAGTACCCAGAAGGGGTTAATCCATCACTTGAGTTTGTCATAACTTCCCGGGATATAACAGCCGTGGGGGCGTTCCACCATTTGCAGTGTTGGGCGTTCCCCCAAGAAAGGCAACAGGAACTGCGGCTACATTGGGGAGAAAGGTATGTGTATATACACGAGATGCTTCTATATATTCTGCATGCCAGTCCTTTTTATTACGAGTTTATGACCACTAAGTATCAATATTTCCATCTTGAAATGTCATTTGTTTCAAAGAATTATGTACTCTTATCGGAGTCATGTAATAGTAATACTGCTTTGATAATGGTATCATGCCTATCTCATGTTTATTATGCGTTCTGAATTAAGTTTTTGTTCTCTGTTTGAATGTCTTGTTAGTTTTCCGTTTTGCTAATTCAACTGCATTTCTGGTTAATCTAACATTGGGTTCAAAAGCGTGTTTCTCATTACCGCGCAACCTTACATTTTCAGTAACGGATATCAAATAAGGTTCAGTGAAGAGCCCTGTGTGCACTGCAATGTTGGCTACATAGTCCCGGAATGGGTTGATGCAACCCTACTCTTTCAGAAATAAAACAGATATATGGTTCTGGTTCTGCCCTTCCAACCTCAACACTGATCTTACCTCTGAAGGCGGACAAGGTTGAAGCCGTTAAGCAACAACTCTCTAGCATGCATCCGGAAATTCTCTTGTTCTTATCAAGGATTAAGCGACTCTCGGTTAGGGAAGACAATGTGGATCCAAGGCACAACACTGTAAGTGCGATAGCAATATCAAGTGAGACTAATTTTGTCACCAGGAAGAACATAGATGCTGAATCCTACACACTCCACCTTTCTGCGAAAGAAAATGGCTACAAATTTGATGCAGAATGCGGCTATTATATGTGGAAGCAGAAGTTTCCTGTCAGGCGGGAGTGCAGAGTAGATAAGATAAATGATGTAGATGAATGGATGATCACACTTGCATTTCCAATTGGAGAGCACTTTTGTAGAGGAACAAACACATCTCCTGGAGTCTATGCATTCCTTCCCACCGAGATGGTGACAAACTTTCCCTTTATAATTGAAGCCGATTTTCTTCTTGCCTCATCAAGGGAAACAATTCTTCTGGACAGCAAATGGAATAAGGGGATTCTCGATTGCATTCCAACTGCATTTTTGAATGCATTTATCTCGCTTGTCAGATCTAAAGAAGATGCTCCAGTTTCTAGCTTGACTCGTATGGTCAAGTTTCTGCCCGTTCAGAGCTCTTATGAAGGATTGAATGTTGTCAGCGATGGTATATCATCTTTATCTGCACCACTCAATAAGCAAAATGTATTCTTTCTTTTGGACTGGATTCGCCAGCTCATGCGTAAAGCTAGCATCCCTCAGAAGTTCTTGATGTGTGTATAAGAAGGTAGCTGGCAGAAAGTTACTTTGAATGGTTCTCCTGGTTTCAGACCACCATCGCAGTCATTTCTTCTCAAGTCATCATCGGGAAACCTTTTGCAGAATAGCTCTGTTTTTGTTGATACCGTTGATTGATCAAAGTCATTATGATGGAAAGATTAACGATTACAAGGAGGAGCTGAAAAAAATTGGAGTCAGGTTTGAGTTTGGAGAAGCGTGTGAATATATGGGGAAGCATCTCATGTCTCTTGCTGCTGCTTCCTCTTTAACCCGTGGCAATGTATTTTCTGTACTACGTTTCATCAGATTTTTGAGAGAGAAACTTCTTCCACCAGACGATTTTATCAGCAGTATTAAAGATGGTCAGTGGCTTAAAACTTCCCTTGGCTTCAGGTCTCTGGTTGGATCTGTCCTGTCGGATGATGAGTGGACAGTTGCTTCGCAAATTAGTGACATTCCCTTCATAGATGAGGCATTCTATGGTAAAGAAGAAATCTGTCAGTTCAAAACAGAACTTGAGTTGCTTGGGGTGGCGGTCTCATTCAGCAAATGCTACCAACTGATAATTGACAACCTCAAGTCACATTCTTGCTTGACTTCCTGGACACCTGAGGTTCTTCTATTGATGCTTAAATGCATGTGCCTTTCGAGCTCATTATTTCAAGCAGCATGCATGCATCTTCGACTTCCATTTCAAAAGAAAATGTTGCATCAATTCTCGTGTTACAGAACACTGAATGTAACTCCATTTAAATTTCCTGCAGATTTTAAGAGCTGCATTCGCGAGGTGAAGTGGCTGCGTTCTCGCCTTGGTGATTATAGATCTCCCAAACAGTGCATTCTCTCTGGTCCCGAGTGGGATTCCATCTCTTCCATGTCTTCTCCCATTCATTGATGATTCTGAAAATCATTATGGAAAGAACATTCATGCATTTAAGAACGAACTGAAGAGCTTGGGGGTGGTTGTGGAATTCAAGGACGGAGTCAAGTTCGTGGAATCTTGTCTGTATCTTCCTCAGGATCCAACCTGCATTTCTCGAGAAAGTGCACTAGCATTGCTTGAATGCCTACAGATTTTATTGCACTAGAATGCCTACTCCCTTCCGGAGGCTTTCAGGGGAAAACTTTCTCGAGCATGGTTGAAGACTCATGTTGGTTACCATTCTCCTGACCAGTGCTTGTTGTTTGATTCGAAATCGCGTTTAAAGCAAACTGATGGGCCTTTCATTGATGAAGAATTCTATGGTTCTAAAATTACAACCTACAGAAAGGAGCTCGCTGCAATTGGGGTGATTGTCGAAGTGAAAAAGGGAGGTGCCTTGATTGCAAGGCACCTTGATCTACATGATGAGTTTTCGACATTTGTTCGAGTATATAGTTACTTGAGTGACTCTAAGTGGGTGCCACTGGCAGATGGAGAGGCTCCTGGAAGGATCTGGGTTCTGAAAGAAAATAAAAGTTGTTTGGTTTGTTCTCTTCTGCTGTTGGAATAAGATCCCACCCTTCTATTGATGATTACTTGAATCTCTGGAAAGTTTGGGAAAGTTCTGAAAGCGGATTGTCTCATGATCAATGCTGCATGTTCTGGCTTTATGTTTCGAAGCACTGGAATTTGAAGATGGAGAAAAGTCTTGCTGATGCCGTGGTGAAAGTACCGGTTTATTCTGGCTCAGGTGGAATTTTGCTGTGCAACAAGGAGGACGTTTTCATTGCAGATGACCTTCATCTGCAGTATCTTTACAAACAGGTACCCTCAGCCAAACTTGGCTTCCTTGCCTCGGACTAGGGTGCTTGAAATCTACAAGAAAATTGGTGTTCGCACTATTTCAGAATCTGTGCAGAAGGTAGAATCATCCCTCGCAGATGATGTTGAACTACTGATGATTCCCACGAAGAAATTGATGGGGAAAACGCTCTTGAGGCTGATTCTTGGGTTTCTAGCTGGTCCTCCCATTGAGATGGAAGTAGAGAAGAGGCAGAAAGCTGTCCAAGGTCTTGTAGACATTGCTGTTGTGGAGACACCTGAACCAATCATTGTGAGCTATGATCTGCCACTATCTTCTGGTGAAGTTTTGAATGTGAAAGGCACACGAAAGATACGGTGGGACAGGGAGAATTCCAAATTCTTCATCCAGAAGATGGACAAATCTGGCGGACAGAAGAGTACCATTGAGTTTGCTACCTATTTTGCTGAAGCAATATCTGAGTGTGTGCTGTGGGAGTGCACTGAACATATACCTGCACTTTCTGAACTCATCAAGTTGGCATTTGTGCTAGAATTCAATGAGGAAGCTGTTGATTTCTTGATGAAGTTGAAGAATCTGCAGATCTTCGTTGAGGATGGGGAGTTTCTGAATTCTGCCTACCCTTCTATCTAGTTATGTTTCTTTTCAATAATAATAGTCTCTCTCTGCAGATGAAGTGAACTCTATGTTATGCTGTTTTGGTTGTGTGGTTTTTTACCGTTGGATTCTCATGTTATTTTGAACAACTGGATTTGCTTCTACTATCATATGAACTTATGAACCATGTTTTCTCATCTGGTTTTTTTACAACCTTGTGCAGTTTACTAATTGGTCCGTTTTATGATTGCTGAATTAGTTTCCTAAGTTTTAGCTTTGTATTCTTCAGAAGCTGCTAACTAATTAAAAAAGATTCAGTTTCGAATTCGTAGAAATGATAGATTAAAGAAAATGTACAACGAAAATTTCATAAATTGAAATGTGAGCAGAGGAAGCAGCTGGTTTTCCACTTACTCCTTGGAAACTGATGAAAAGGGGGGAAATTAGTGAACAGATTCTCAAGGAAGAAGAAAGGCTAAATTAATTGAAAATTTATCAAATATAATCAACTCATGTAGCCAGCCCTTTGGTCGAGTATCTTCACCGACCTGTTTAAGGCAAAACACTTGAAAGTCCAATAGGGATAAAGGTCAGTGAGCACAGAAAATTATGCAGTTATTATATTCGGAAGTTTCCTGTCAAGGATGAATTCAGAGTGGATAGGAGAACGGGTTTGGATGAGTGGATGATAACGCTCGTACTTCCCATTGGTGAACGCCTAGGCGGAGGACCAAACTCGTCACCCGGGATCTATGCATTCTATCAGACAGAGATGGTGACAAACTTTCCCTTTATAGTTCAGGCATTATTTCTTCTTGATCAAGGGAAACAATTCTCCTTCTCAAGAAGTGGACTCGGGATTCTTGATTTCATTCCCGCTGCATTTGTTAATGCATTTCTCTTTCTTGGTAATCATTACAGTTCTCGTAAGTCCAGGTTCTTGCCTGTCAATCCGTCTTGCTAGGAAGAACTGAATGCCGTGAGGAAGTCGAAAAGAAAAGCTTCTTGACGCACATTTTACCTTTTATTAGGAATTAAAGAGTATGATAGAGTTTTGCAACTTTCTGAGCTGATCAAGCTGGCCTTTGTGCTAGAACATTGTTATGGTTTGAACTTTATTTTGCTTTGGTTTCGTGCTTTTTGTGTTGAGCAAATGATTGATCTTTCATTACGTTAATTACCGTTTACTATAATGTTTCATTGCACTCACTGGTTTTAAATATTCGCTAAAAGGTAGCTTAATCAACTAATGTCTTCAGCTTCTGAAGAGCAATTTTATCCTATTTGTGATCACTTAGGTTAAGTACTTCTCATTTTTGTTTGTTTGATCTTTCTTGTTGTATATAATTAAGAACAACGTCCTGATGCATATATATCAGGCAAGAGAGCTTTGTCCACTGTAATCACAATGTACATCTCTACTGATTTACATTGGGACACAAATTTTGGTCTGAAGGACATGAGTTAGAGAGTCATGGCCCAGAAGTGCAGGAAAATGAAAGTCTCATGGCCAAGAACAAGAAAGAGACCGAAGGAAAAGTACGAAAATAATGACCATCACTCTTCGTGTTCATTCCTCGCAGAAAATCACTCAAGCCAACACGTTCTCTTACATGCAGCTTCATCCTGCACGACTGTATAGGTGCAACCCCGACCCTGCAGGTTAATTAACTTGACAAGTGATTAGGTGTGGTGGCTTGGAGATTTTGAACCGTAGGCCTCTTGGAACCGCAGCTCTGATATCATGTTAGAGAAACAGTAGACCCCAACCGCTGTCAAGGAATGGATCAACAATGTATATCAAGCTCACAGTTCCTTGCGTGATCAAGTGGCTGCAGATTTCTCGGCCAGATAGGTGGCTCTGTCGTGGCCACCACTGCAACCTAGGTAGTAGCATCCTTTAATGTGCAATAGATTCTTTACTCCGAATCCATTTCGTACTCTTCTCCTTCTCCTTCCTTTCTTCTTTGTCTTTGTTACCTGGCCCTGGAACATGACATGAAACATTTCAGAACAAGATCACAAACTTTATCTGCTTAATTAGTATATTTTTTTCTCATAAGATATTTACATCGTGGTGATCAGTCGTTGACGCTAGGCTATCAACACTGCAGTCTACAGAAGCAGCACTTGGCGATTTCTTGTGCTTGATATCCTCGTCCGTTGTGCTGTCGTACTTGCCTGCATTTGTATGCATCAATTCCAAAAATGTTCATATCTTTTTCTCAAATACAAAGTGCTACAAAAAAAGTTGCATCCAATTTTACGTGTAAAAACTTACTGCTATCATTTTCAATTTCCAGAGCTTCCATGCAATAAATTTTAAAACTTGGTGACGCGGGACACATGAAAAATTCTCTGTTTCTCTGCGTACCATCTTCATTATCTTCGTCCTCTTCCTCTCCCTCTGTGGTGTCCTCCATTGCAAAAACCCCTCCTATATACACATTCACACCCTTTGGCTCTTTATGATCTTCAACACTACACTCCGTCCCATCTCTCTTACTTTGCTCCTTCTTTTGGTCCTCATCGTCAACCTGTTTTGTACCTTTGTCACACTCCTGCGAGATTGGTGCAACCTTGGACTTGTTCTCCAAAGTTGGTGGTATCTTCGGAAACGTTATTTTGTCAGACTCTGGTGAACACTGCGGCGAATGAAGGAGAGAGTTATCAACCTCCTCCTGTGCACAGTCCTTAAGTAGCTGTTTCTTGGAGAGAGTACTAGCGGCTTTTAGCTTTCGTGCCTTGGACCGGCTCTTCATCTCCTCGAAGCGTCTCTGCAAGAGGGAAAGGATTCTAGGAGGCACAGCCTCGGCTTCTGGGGTGAGCTTTGAATTTTGGTCACCCATTGGAGAGGACAACAATGGGGGATTGCGGCCACAAGCGGTAGGAAGAAGAGACGTAGAAGATAATTAGATTTGGAAAATTATGAGCTAGAAGGGAGAATATGAAAGAGATAGGTCAAAGGCAGTTAATTAGTTATAGGATAAAACTTCATGTTCCTTGACAGTTAGGCAACCGAAAAATAATAATAATGCAAATATTTGGTTTGATTAACTATAAAAATATGGTTTGAGATTTGGTTTGGTTAATTATAGAAAAATATTGGGTTTTGCAAACAAACTTACTATATTTGTAATTTTGTGGTTGTGGAATTTTTTTTGTCTTGGGGCCATGTATTTCGAATGTTGAAAGAGTCATCCGCAGTGCTTGGCAACAATGTGTATGTCAGCTCATGTTTATCGCTGCCAACAGTGTGTTGCCAGCTTCAACAAAATCTCAATTATAAACCATAATTAGGGCAAAGCATTCTGTTAGAGACGAATTTTACGTTCAGATACATTTTGATTGGAAATGTAATGTCATATAATTAGTCAATAGTGGAGTTAGAAATTATTTTCTTTCAGCTTTGAAACTTCAAATCTTTTCTTGATATATCAAGCTAGTTTTTTCGCCATGTTACAAAATCTCCTTATTTTTTTCACTCTCTTTTCTAAGTTTTTATTTTGTATAAATAAGGATCTATTACTCATTCAAAGTAACGGAACATATACAACTCAACTAAGTTTTAGACATTAGAGTGAATGAAAAAAACAACGAAGATTAAGAACTCAAGGAACTTTGCAACTATTTTAATAAGAATATTGTTTTTCTAGAGAGTAGTTTCAACATATATGTCTTACAACTCTCCTCTAAAAAATTAGAACTCGACAGGACTAGCTTCCACTCTTTCAATCTCGTCCGTCCCAGCCAGCAATTGGGCGAACGAAAACGGAAAACCATTTGGTCATTAGATACCCATCTAGCTAAAATGGTGCATATCCAACGGCCAAGAATTCATGGGCTGATGGTGCAAATCCGATTTAACCAAATTCCCACCCAAATATAACTATTTAGAGAAGAAATCTCAAGTTTGGAATTTTTTTGTTTGGAATAAAAACTATAGGTATTGTTCTTGATTAGACAATGAAGAGACTTATTATATGTACCTGAAATTGAATTTTTTATATATTAAGCAAAGAATCCAAACAAAGTCTTCATAGGTAATAATTTTAGAGAGAACTAATAAAAAGTTTCCCGTCAAAATTTTTTTTATTGAAAAACACTTAGACAATTATTAAGGATGTTATTTGTTATATTACAAGGACAAAAAACAAAGAGAGTCTCATTTCATGAGGCTTTGATTTAAAAGAAATGTCCTTAATAATAAGAAAGTGTTCTTAATAATAAAAGAAACGTGCCTTTAATGATAAAGAAAGCTGTTTAAGAGTTAAATAAAAAAAAGTTTTACGAGGGGTTTTTTTTATTAATTTTCTAATAAATTTTTTTTCTTCTTTTTGTGTGTAAATGTTTATATCTTATTTTCAACTTTTAGAACTAGGAAAGAAGCTTAAATGAAAGTCATATGATTCTAGCTGCTGGCATGGCTTTCATTTTGGACCTGGTGCTCTCCAAAAAAGGATTTCTTTATGCAAAGTTGATATATATGCTTTGCTTCTTTTTTAGCCCTCTCTATCTTATCATCCTGACCGAAAAATCAATTACCTCTTGAAATGAAAAGCTAGAGATTCCTGTAGCAATAAGCCCTTCCCCTTATCTTTTTACGAGAATGCCTCGTAAAATTGGCGAGACCCCACATTTAATTATTTCTAGTTTATTATAAGGCTAAACTTATCCCCCACCTATTTAGTGTAGATAATATTGTTTGTTAAAAAAAATAATAATTTGACAACTAATTTAATCACATTATTATCCACGTGCGAAAGACCTTTTTTATAACCAGCATTACACGCATCATAAGATGTTTTGAACGTGTTTAAAAATAGAGAAAATAATGTTGAATGAACAGCTGATCGAATCACATTATTGCTAGCCTATTATGAGGTACTAATTAAAAAAAGTACAAAAAAATTAATTATTTAAAAAACACTGTCAAATATTTGAAGTAAATGAATAATTTTAGATATGCTAGAAGAAACCCCTCATAAACCAATTTAAACAACTGAATTCACATAATAAAATCGGTCTCTATAGAATTTACATTAAGAATAGAGAAAATAATATTTAATAAACAATTGATTGAATCATATTATTGCTAGCCCATTGTGAGGCTAAGCTCATCCCCTTTTGTGTAGATAATATCGTTTGTTAAAAAAAAAATCATTTGACAATTAATTTAATCACATTATTATCCGCGTGCGAAATACCTTTTTTTTATAACCAGCATTACACACATCTTAAGATGTTTTGAACATGTTTAAAAATAGAGAAAATAATATTTAATAAACAGCGGATTAAATCACATTATTGCTAACCCATTATGAGGTTAAGCCCACCCCCTCCCCTTTAGTGTAAATAATATCGTTTGTTAAAAAAAACAAGGGTAAATTACACAGTAGCCCCTCAAGTTTTGAGGTTTATTACAACTTCATACAACAACTTTAAAACATTTCACTTTCATACCTCAAGTACTATTTTATTTCAATATAATACATCTGTTAGATTTTCCATCCATTAATCTGTTAAATGCTGACGTGGCTGCCACATTTGTGCCACGTGGCTGCCAATGTCTGCCACGTGGCAAAAAAACATTTTAATTTTTTTTTTCTTTTCTTCCTCCCTCTTCTTCTTCTTCTTCTTCCTCTTCTTTTTCTTCTTCTTCCTCTTCTTCTTCTTCTTTGTCGTCGTTGGGGTTGGGGGGGGGGGTTAGGGACAAATTTTTTTTTCTTTTCTTCCTCCCTCTTCTTCTTATTCTTCCTCTTCTTCTACTTTTCTTTTGTGTCGCTGGGGTTGGGGAGGGGGGTTAGGGACAAATTTTTTTTTTCCTTTCTTCCTCCCTCTTCTTCTTCTGGGTCACTGGGTTCGGGGGGGGGGGGAGGGCAAATTTTTTTTTCTTTTCTTTTCTTCCTCCCTCTTCTTCTTCCTCTTCTTCTTCTTCTTCTTCTGGGTCGCTGGGGGGTGGGGGAGGACAATTTTGTTTTTCTTTTTCTTTCTTCCTCCCTATTCTTCTTCTTCTTGCAGATCTGGTTTTTTTTTTTTTTTTTTGAGAAAATTCAGGTTTAAAAAAAAAAAAATTTATTTGCCACGTGGCAGACATTTGGTAGCCACGTGGCACAAATGTGGCAGCCATATCAGCATTTAACGGATTAATGGATGGAAAATCTAACGGATGTAAATAGTACTTGAGGTATGAAAGTGAAATGTTTTAAAGTTGTTGTATGAGGTTGAAAGGGACCCCAAACCTGAGGTATGAAAGTGTAATTTACCCAAAAAACAATCATTTGACAATTTATTTAATCATATTATTATCCACGTGCGAAAGATATTTTTTATAACTGGCATTACAAGCCTCTGAAAATGTTTTGAACGTGTTTAAAAATAGAGAAATTGAATCACATTATTGCTAACCTATTGTGAGGTACTAATTAAAAAAAACTACCAAAAAATTTATTATTAAAAAAATACTATTAAAATGACGAAAACACCCCTATCTTATTTGATGCATTTGAAATTTTTTGTCTCAAGAGTATTTTTGTCCAAATATTTTTGTTGAAACTTGATACACCAAAATCACTATTCATATTTTTAATTTACTTTATCTATAGAAGATTACCATGCATGTTATACTGTCAAAGAAGAGAGAAAAAACTTGTGTGAGGGTATCTGAAGCAATTCATTAATTGTTAGGGCAGCTTTCACAAGAATATTAGACGCTCGGTATTGTGGTCCCACGCCCGGTATAAAAGATGCCCTAATTGGGTAGCCCAAGCTATATTAATTTTTTCTCCAAAGGAGGATGCTGAGAATTGGGTTCAGTATTCTAAACGTTACCAACTTTTACATCCACCAATCTCTCAGAGCACTAAAGTTTCTGGAAGTACTTTAATATCTGAGTAATGTTATTCTTATCATGTTTTTATACTATAGCTATACCACCTATTTGATGTGGTCAACCACATTATTTGAAAAATTTGCAAAACTTAAGGAAAGAAAGAAGAAAGACTCCTCGTATACCACAATCATTATTTAATTAATGAGTTTTTCTCAATTATTATTTTATTAAATAATGAACTAAATTTAAAAATATGATTAATTCAAATGATGTGGTTGTCCACATTAAATGCCACCTAAAATGGTATGAAAATGTGGTACAAAAACATAGTATGAATACTCTTAATATCTTCCAAGAAAAAAAGATTCATTTCCTATCATGATCGAACACGACACACGAAGAACGATGCTACATTTAATTAATATGATCAAAATTTAGGGCAGCTACTGATTTCTTCACCACATTCTTCACTTGGGGAAGTTACTTCTGTGATCCCACTTGAACTTGAACAAGAGGAGGAAGAAGATGCAGGATTCGCATTATTGTTAACTTTGATGCTGTTGTAATTCACCACAATCTCCTCATTCATCTTGCCACTTCTTTTCTTAGAAAAAACCCGACACAAAACCCAATTTCCTTTTGGCGTTAAAGCATTCTGCATAAAATTAGTTAAGAGTGTCAACTGATGTTTTTTTTCCTTTAATAAGACGGTATATATTCTAATCTACAAGTAGGGGGTGGGATTCGAACAGTTAAGTGCAAAGAGTCGGGCATACTGCCTTAACCATTTGGCTTAACCCACGTGTTCATGTCAAATATCCTCTTGAATTATTGAGTTTGTGACAAACCTCGTTCTAAACTCACCTCAGTTGCGTGAATGGAAGCTGTAGTTTCTGCATTCACAAGGCAATATTCATGCATGACCCAATCAGTCTTAGAAACATGTGGAGACTTCCCTCTGTAAAATACTAGAGTCTTTTTCTTTCCCACAATATGATTCCTCCTTGAAGATACAATCTTTTTATCTGCGCCGGTTGCTTTCCAGTAACCGGAACTTGTCACCCTGTTGGCTCGGTTTCCATTCCGGTATTTTGACTCCTTGTTGCTGAAGAAATACCTCTCTTGTTCCAAATTACCTGGAAACATACCGCACATAAACTGTCAGTTTTTATAAGTGAAAAAATGACCAAAAAAATTCAGAACTAAGCGAAGTGATTAGTGATAATGTATATGTATTGTGTGCTGACCTGGCAAATCCCAAGGATCATACATGCAAACGTTGATCTCGGGAATAATGGAAGCAGGAAGTGGGCATGAGAAGACTTTGCATCTCAGGTACTGAAAAACTAGCTCTTCATCTGTTGGTTGGAATCGGAAACCAGGAGGCAATCTGATCATCCCATTTCTAACAAATTTGAACTTGTCCATTATTTTGAAAAATGAAAAATGCAAAGGCCTTTATTTCTTGGAACTTATTGGACTCTGTCAAGGATGAGCAAAATGTGAAGCAACCATGTTGAGTATTTATAGATAGAACAAGAGAAGAATTTGGAGATGGTATCTTTTTGAGTGGTTGTACAAGAAAAAGAAAAGAAAAATGATTCCTAACGGTGTGAATATAGAAAGGGACAACAGTACTATTACAGTATTACTGGATGAATACTTTTGATGTTTGACAATTAAAAAATAGTTAATTTGTTTATTCTCAAACAACTGGTGCTGCTAGCAGTGAATCACGACACACTTGTGCTATGTTTGGATGAGGAACTTTAAAATTTTATGACATTTTAATTAGACTCAATCGTTACAAATGCACTATAAAAACACTAGCAACATAAACTACTCAAGCACTAGAAATTTACTATAAAAACATTACACATGTATGTGTTACCAAAAACGCTAAATAAAAGATTTTTCAAATTGACACCTTGAAATATGTCATTTCAAAATTTTGTATTTAGTCACTTTCAAGTTGTTCTATCTAAATTTTATAGGTGCATCGGTAATAAATTTGTTATAAGTTTATGAAACTTTTAAATTTATCATCCAAACGCATCATTATAAAACTAAGACTTGAAAAAACACTAAATTTATTGTGCAATAATAGTCGAGTATAAGAAAAGTTGGTACAATAACATTTAAGTTTATGAGTTTTTTGCTTTAAAACGGGACTTTAAGCGTTTTTAATTATAAAATGAAGTTTTTGTGAAGCTTTATATCGATATAGCAACCCTTTAAAAAACTTTGACTTACTTACAGATCATTTAATTTCTTGTTTTGTAATGTCTATAATTTGTGATGAAAAAAGCAAATTCTTACATCTCGATGTCCTTGTTATAAAGAGCATCTCATGTGAAAGATATGTTAACAAGCAATTAATCAAAGAGCATTGAGCTAACCAGTGAGTCTTTTTTATCTTTGGAAAAGTGGACTACCATGGTGAAGTTACTAACAATTTATTTTTTTATTTTTTTTTTGAAAAAAAAAAACATCATTGAGCTAATCAGTTATATTATATTGGAGTTATGAGGCTTCGGTGAATTTTTTTCAGGTAAGGACACATATTACTCATTATTAATCGAAATGGACAGGTGATGTATTTCTCATTCATATGAAGTCATCCGATGGCATGCTTAACTCATTACCTAGATGGAAAAACACATAAACTGTTAGTAAACTATATGTGGAAGAATTAGTAAGTAAAACTATGTGAAAGTAACATATGAAAAAACACACAAAATTATTTACCTCAAGTGATGTTAGAAAAAACATAAATAAAGAAAATTATTAGGGAATTGAGGAATTTATATTTTTGTACTATACACGATGTAGCAAGTGATATATGTTTTGTCAATTCCTTGAATGTAATCTCTCTAACATTAATCATATATAAAAGGGACCAATATCACTTGAACTATAGGTTTTACTGCAAATTGCATCAATGTGTGCCACCTCAGTTGAAATGTTATTGTAGTGTGCCACTCATATGCAAACAAGACTATCTCGTTTTGCCGCATTTTTTATTATATTAAAGGAAACGAATTACAACCACCATGGAGTGGTTGAATGATTGGGAACGAATTTCAAATCCTTATTCTACATGGTATGTCATGTGTTCGACTTCTGGTACGGGTGGACTGCTATGAGTCCCCACCCCCAAAAGGGTGGACTGCTATGACGAAGTCACCGGTTGGTTCCATTTTTTTTTTAAACAAAACGAATTACAAACAGAAAATATACAATTGTAATTTGATAGTATATAATAAATATAAAGCAATGGTTCAAAAAAAAAATATATATATATATATATATATATATATAATACATAGCCTAATTTCGTTTAAAAAGTTGCACGTTATTTATGCATGTCTATTTGGAAAAGTGTTTTAATGTTTGAAATATCGATAGTACATACTTGCTTTAAAAGGATATTGTCTCAAGTACATGAAACGTCCGAAAAAGAAACTATGCCAAGTAAAACCTAAAGTTCATGATAACTTGGTAAATCAAACATCGATAGTACATACTTGCTTTAAAAGGATATTGTCTCAAGTACATGAAACGTCCGAGAAAGAAACTAAGCCAAGTAAAACCTAAAGTTCATGATAACTTGGTAAATCAATAATCCCTATACAAAAATTTGGTTATGTTGAGTAACTGTCTCTCTAAAAGCAAAATTCCGTGGACCACTTAAAATAATGCAGCAATAAAAGTAAAACCATATATGCATGCAATAACCGAGCTACGTTCATTACGATACAGTTAATCCCAAATCATTCACAGTAGGCAATATCTTGATTCGTCATCAGATCACTCATCGATTTCATTTTCTTTTGGTTGTTCTTCAAATTAAATTTTTCTTTCTAGTGGTTTGGACTAATTAGTTTACTACTAGCTACTGTTAGGAGTATTAAGATTTTATGGTTATGGAATTGACATGTGTCAAGAGATTAAAAAGTTAGCTAAATTTGTTGTGATTGTAGCTCAAAGTGCAAGCTACTATAGCTATTACTAGATATTTATACCCGCGCGTTGCTGCGGGTTTTAAAGTAGAGTGAAATGCTATATTAAAGACTTGAAAAATGAATTTGCAAAGCAATAACAACATTAATAACAAAGAAAATGGAAAAGTTGGAGAAAAGCTTGAATTGTGAGAAGATATGGATAAACATGAAAGTTTATGATTGGATCACATCACTTATAACTGTTTTTGGATTAGGATGATCATATTTACAAACAAAAAATTAGCAAATACTTTGTTACAGGGATACAAAAAATATTAGAGCTATATATTCTAATTTAGCTATTCTTTGTGCTCTAAAAACTAAACCAGCTTCTGTACACAAAAAATTAACAAATGCTGGTATACGAAGGTGCAAAAAATATTGTCTAGTTTTGTGCAGAAAGTGGTATTTACAAACCACCAAAGATATCAGACAAAGTTTAATACAGAGTATGAAACAGAGTAGATGCAAAATATATTGTAGCAGAGGAGGAAACGTCTTGTAGCAGGAGCATTATCAGTGTTGACATTGAGAAACCAACCTGTACAGAGAAAAATAATGCAAGGCATTTAGAAAGTGATTAAGTTCACAGCTAAGCAGTTTTGAAGCAAAGAATTTAGCAAAATGAAACCATATTTACCTATTTAATTTTTGGATGGACCATCTGTTTTTGCATAAGCTTTTTTTCAGCAATTTGATAGGCATTTCATCAAATTCTTTTGGATAACTTCTGAAATTTCTTCTGCTTCACTGTTTTAAATGACCATGACTGATGAGCACATTTTATTGGATAAAACATAAAAAAATGTTGTCCAACTATAATTTGTATCTCTTTACTCAAATTTTGTCTTAAAAAAAAAAGATTCTTGACATGTATATATTAAGCAAAGCAGAAGATATGAATATTTGAACACAGGGAAGTAAAATAAAACTATCAGATTTTATGATACTATGGAGTTTGAATCTATACCTCTGTTCACTGCCAGTAAACAGAGCTTTCCTCACAGGCTCCCTCTTTCATTTATGTGATTCTCCACTTGTTTCAGGTGGTGAGGTCGAAGATGATACAGTAGTGGAAGATACTATGACTGCTCTTGGTAAGATTTGTGGAGTTATTGGTTCTATAGCTGTATCATCAGACACATTGTAAACCAGCACATCACTTGAGTTGAAACTATTTTTTCTATTTCCGAATCGCAAGTGGAAAATCTTATTTTGCCCAATTAGTCGCAAAAACTCATTAGGCAGTTGTTGTTGGTCAATCAATCTCTGATTCATGACCAAATCTTTGCAGGGCATACAAAAGAGTTTTTCTCCAGCTTTGCCAATTATCAAAGCACTAATTTCATTAGTGCTGTCTTCAAGAATCAAATTAACTTTGTACCTATATTTAAAAACTAAATTCCATGAGTTTTTTTAATGGCTTATAACTCATTGTTAACAATCAGAGCAAAGAAGTTTAAAGAACAGAGGTTATAGATTTGAAGTCATTTTTTAGTTGGAAAGAAACAACATGGAATTGAAAATCATAGAAAAAGTAAAAAAAAAAGACAGAATAACAAACTTGCATATTGAATGTTACCACGGTGTTGGAATTTGGTTAGGGTGTTTCTGACAGATGAGTTGTCCGGTCGATGGGTCCTTATGCATTTGTTTGACACAGCTAGGGCAAGCATTATACCACCAATCATAACGTGTGTCAAAATGTTTGACAAATGCTTTACATAGGAATGTATCATTCTGTCAAATGTTTTATGACACGTGTAAGAGCAACAACAAAATTAGTTTTTGTTCAATATATAAAAATGCAGGTAAATGTTAAAAAAAAAAAACAAAGATAGAAAAGCATAAATCGTTTGTATACCTTATACAAATCAGGATCCAAAAAGGCCAGCTCATCTATTGTTACTCTTCTTGCTGTACACAAAATTTCAGCCTCATTTGCCTGCCTTGAAGAAGAAGGCAGTATTTTTACAAGGACTTTATAGGTTGAGAACCTGCAAGTTTAAAAAGAAAATAAGAAATTTTGAAAAATCAGCATGTTTAGAGGTTTTAACAGGAATGACGATTTTAGAAGTGCACTGACATTGATTTATGAGTTAACCTCCGGGATGTCTGGGTCGATGAAAAAAAGGGAGGAGCCAGTACTATTCAAGATGATGTTCTCTGTTGATGGCAAAAAATAATAACAGAATTGTAAAACAAATATTAGCAAATATCATAGATGAGTAAATGTTTTTAATTGGATGGTAGATGTTTAAATGTGAGGAAAAAATTGTAATGGATACATATAAAAATGTGGTAAAATAATTTGAACATGCAATGCTAGAAACGAAATACAAACTGTAACAAATAGGTTCTAACAGTGTATAAATAAGAAATAAAAAAGAAAAAAAATAAGATATAGCAAGAAATGTAAGAACATATCCAAATACAGATAGAATAAATGGGTTTTAGTTAAATGAGTTACCTAGGTAAATCTTAAC